CCCTCGATACCGCATCCGCTTCTCTGCCCGACCAGTTGTTCGCAAGCCATGCCACCACCTTGAGAACCTCCTTGTAGCTCCAACGATCCCCTCTACGAGTGTTTGCTGCGTTCTGATTTGCATTTGCGTTTGGCCCTAGAATATTCGCGATATTTGGCTGGTTCAGCGCCGCTTCGACTGCTGACGCGAAATCGCTACGCAACGTATTCAAGATCAAGGACACCAACTCTTTGTTCGTGACCAACGAGGGAGGCAGGAGTAGTTTCTCTGCTTCTGGTACGAAGAACGCACAAAAACGAGTAACCAACCCCAAATCCTCTCGACTCGCCCCCTTGGCTTCCGCGCAAATCTCTCTCAAACGCCTCCTCGACCCTTCGTTCACCTCATCCAACTCTGGATACATCGACTTTATCGCCGTTTTCCATTCTTCGAACGTTCCTCCTCCATATGGCGTCAAGTTCTTCCACGCTTCCTTCACATATCGAGTATCCAAATACCGCAACACCGTCTCCTTCTTTTCCGCCGCTTCAGTAATACTTGCCTGGTCGATAATGCGATCGCATTCGTCTAGGAATTTCTCCAACTTGCCAGGAGTCTTCCCATCGAAACTCGGACGACCCGAATCCCAGGTTTCCGGTACTTTAAAACGCGCAGCCGCTCCTCCCAGACCTCCATTATTTACGTTTCCGTTATCCCCCATGTTGTTGTTTTGTTCAATCGGTTGTTCGTTAATCCGATTTGTGTTGTGTTCACCTTCAGATAGGTCCGTTAAAGGCGAAGATGGTGTCGACGATTGCTGTTCTTCTTCGACTGTAGTGTTCCTTTCGGTTGTTTTGCGCTTTGTAGCTGGTTTTGTTGGTAAGCGCTTTTTGCTCGATGCTTGAATCGGTTTTCGCGACGAAGATGCTTGAGGTTTCGTCGATTTTTGTGGTGCTTCTCTGTTCCGAGCTCCTTGTGAGTTGAGCGTGGTTCTCGGTGTTGGTTTCTTCGTTAATTTGGGAACGAAAAGTGGTGTTGGTCGCAGTTCTCCAACGCCTCTTAACAATCCAGGGAAGTCGTTTGGTTGGGAATCAGTGAGATCTTTCTGTTTCCCTTTTGGTGGAATTTTGTACTTTGATCCAAGCGTGTGGGCGCTTGCTTGTCTTCTTTCTTGTCACAGCTATTTTTGCACTAAACAGAGTTCTTTGCAATATGACACTCGATCACCCCTCGCGGTGGGCTCCAGATGATGAGGGGTGGATGACGGGTGGGGAGACCGGAGATGAGACCGACACTACACAACTAAAACTCAACAACAAAACAACAAATAGTCGTTCTGTCTGAGCGATAACCGTATAACACCGTTCCAAACGTCCAACAACCACCAATAACCGTCTCCTAATACGAGTGCAGAACCCTGGGAACAGAGCCTGTACACGGGTGTGCAAGGTTGTAGGGTAGATCGAATGAAATCTTGTTAAAGATTTGTTTTGTGGTTGTCCTTAAGCGTACTATCGACGAAATCCAGCAATAGGAAAGCGCCAATACGATGCCCAGAACCGTTTATACTCGTTTGGATCAGGAACTAACTGCCTTAAACCCAAGGAGTCGTCTCAAGTCAGGAACTAACTGCCTTAAACTCTCGACCGCCAACCGAAACCAAGTGTACGCCAACCGAAACTCTCTTATACGGCAACCGGAACCCTCACTCTTTGATCACAACGCCTTTTTACTTGAATGAAAGAGCTAGCAGGATGATATTGACAAGCTAGATCCCCAGATGCACCTAGTAACGCGGGCAATCCGTGAATCGCTCAAATACAGGACAGAGATATAAATACTAAAACAGAAAATGATAAGATCAGGTAAATCGCCACAACAGAATGATGGTCCATGTGCATAATTTGTAAGGTATCGTTTCGCCATAAGGCCCAGAGTCGAAAATCCAGGTCTAGATGACCGGTAGCGTGTTTGGTGTCAATGACCTTTGTAAATCCTCCTTTATTGCGACCGTCTATGCGTTTTTGTGAACGGTCCGCTAACCGTTGTTGTTATCGTCGTGTTGCTCCACTTCCTAGCTTTCCATCGATATCCATGACTTGAGGTTAACCGCCAGACACCGTTAGGCAAATCTCTTAACGAGATAATCGCAATCTGTTGTCGAGTTGTTCGGTTGGACGGTTGCGGGTTAAGGTCGCCGCGATCTGCAGCCAAGCCCTCGTTTCCACTGAGTCATGCCTCCCGTTTAACCGCACCTCCACATGTCCTTATCCTTGCGTAAGTTCCGAAACCGCGTTCCAATGCTGTCAGGGACTGATCCGTTCAAGCCTGGTTGAACCTTCGTCGGAGCGTTCTGAGTTCGAGTCCCAGCGCGTGCCAGACCGAATATGCCTTTTGGTTTACACTCCCTTTTTGGTATATATATAGGATTGGATGGATCCTCTATGTTGGTTGGGCTCTGCTGTTGTTTTTGGTTGTTGTAAGAGTCGTTCTGAACGGCCAGTTGCTATCAACAACGGTCGAATCGAAACGCCTCTTCGCAGATATCTCCCTAACTGGCCATTCGGGACTCATGCCAGTTCCTAGACGTGCGCTGTAACCATGAAACGAACAAAAATAGTGGTTTCCTATGTGTGTTCCAGAATGCGGCTTATCATCGTTTCTCCAGGAAAGGAGATATGTCGCCCCTTGGACTGGCAACCCTTCTCAAGCGCTCCAGGGGTCTCGGGCCCGCAGCCCCTGCTGCGGGGCGACTCCCCTCGACCCCCTGAACCGTCGGGCGTGACCGCGTTGCGTCACGCCCCCGCCCGAACGGCTTGTTCAGCTGGCCCAGCCTATGTCTTGCCCTATGTCTTGGGCACCGACTCTACTAGGCAGCACTCTTTGGCTATGGACTCGTTCCCTTCAGCAGGGGTAGGACACTCTAGACGACTACTCGTATCCTGTGACACCGCTGTCACACAACGTGACAGCGGGGCGTCTCGAGTTGCCCCGAGCTGTCCCTACCCTGCTCTATTGCAGTAGTGGCACCATCTACGCTGCCTGGTTGCCGACCACCCAGCTATGGGGGTTGAACCATCTTTCCCACACTTGTCAGACTGGCAGGAGACCGTCACGTGGGCCCGGGCCGGCCCTGTTCCTGACAACCCTCATCCCCTGACAGCCACAAACTGTAAGATTGAGTTCAGCAACATTGAATTCGTCCCTAAGTAAGTGAAACCTACGCCACATGCCGTTCTTCGTGGCATCCTTTATGCACAGTTCGCTATCATTCTCAATAAGATGATCGCTGACAGCACGGCTTTTCGAAGTTTGTATGCGACCTTGGCAGCGGCAGGAAGACAATGGGCCATTTGTCCAGACGGATTGGCAACTCTATGATGAGCAGGGCCCATGCAGAGATTGCAGACCCCCGGAGCCGAAAGCACATCCCGAGCCGCGGCAAGATTATCGAAGCGCATTGACTCAATGCCGATTGGTGGTTGCTGGGTGAGACTATCGGCTTCGGAAGGGCCAGTTGCTGATACTGCAAAATTGATTTGCCCAGATGCTGCAGATGGAGATGGAGAAGCCGGAGAGTGTGTATAATTGGGAACCTTCCAGGCTGCACGCGTCGAAGTGTGTCCTGTGTTTTCTGGTGCGCGGGATTCGCCGACAGGTTGCGACTTAGAATCTTCGGGAGGCCCACCGACTGACCAAGGTGTTCCTGGAGCATTGCTTGTGTGCACCTGAAGGACTTGGGGTACGACCTTTTGACGTTTATGTGGAGGTGCACTGGTTGTGTCCGACACGACAGTCGTCATTGAGGTCCAAGGACTATTATCCCCAACCGTACTACTCCCTGTTGCACTTGTAAATGGAGTCAATGGCTGAGGAAGGGAAAAAAAACCTCACGCACCTGCCGCTAGTCACAATCTCGGGAACTGGGGAAGGAGGCATAGAGTCAGTACTCTGAGAACGGGACCTCTTTTGCCCCCCACTAGTGCTCGGCATTGCCGGCGATGCTTCCAGGTTGTGCATGAGCCTCTGGGCCTTGGTTGGACTCGGGCAACCCTGGAGACTCCGACGAAAGCTTAGCAGAGGAGGATCCAAAGCATGAATAAAAGCTACGGAAGTACACGGAGGGACCGACCTAGCAGGGGAGGATCCAAAGAGAAGAAACTCTAAGGGTCTGCCTGCTAGGGCACCAACTATATACTGGTCATCTGTAACTGCCAACGTAGAGCGCAGAAGACCTGAGTGGTGTCGCAGGCTCTGTCCCAAGATGATTATTGGGAGGGTCTTGACGGATTGGTGATTGTGCAGGCGAAGGAGGCCGTGGACGATGGTTGGGGTGGGTCGGAGCGTCCGAGGGGGCGCTGGTCGAATGTGCCTCGGATGCGCTTGGACGGTCCGATGGAGGCCGAAGCAGGGGTTCCCCTGACAATTTGGGAACTTGTTCGGCGCAAGGACACAAATGGTCCATCATGCGAGAGAGTGTGTTAAGGAATAGATTTCAGATTGTGTTAGTTACATAATCAGGAGTTTCCCTCCTTGGTCTTAACTGTCATCTCATGGTGCTATGTCAACAGACGGAACTGTCCCTGGACTGAGAGAAGTGTCTTGGGTATGCCTTCTTTTAGTGGGTTGAGAGCATTCACAACCATTGTCGCAAGCACACTCTTCAATCTAGCAGACTGTTATCTGCTTGTTTCTTCTTCTTTCCCATTCACAAGTTGGCAGAAACCAGAGGACAGTGACAGATTGTTATGAGTGTTATGATATAACATGACTACAGGCTCAAACACTTGTGTTTGACAAGCGTACATATTCACGCCACTTTTGTTCCCAAACAAGCTCTTAAATCTTAGGTTTGGCAATCATCTTTCTTGCCAACATTATTCACACCTGCTAAAAAGAGTCCATATTTCTTTCCTATTATAGCAAATCAGCTAGTGCACATTGTCTTCAAATTGACTTGTGTATATATCCAAGGCTCTTGTGTATCACAGGATTAGAACAGAAGGATAGAACCCTTTGGATCAAATAGTTGTAGAACCATAATGCACCTGTTGTTGACCTTGTGCCAGCGGCTCATATGTTCCATTCCCCACATAGCGGAATCCCCCTGCACCATAACGTTCCTCTGCCCTCATCTTCTTATAAATGAGCCAAAAGGCATGGATATGGCCTAGGATTAGCAGGGAATCAGCTTGGTGTCCTCCGCAATGATACAAAGACTTGGCATACCGGGAATATAGCCCAAGCTGATCAGAATAATTAGTGAGGAGAATCAATGGTTGGGTGGACACACATAGTCTGCGCAGTGTTAAGTCATTAACCATTAACTGTCAAGCATATATATAACACCACAACTCACCAAGAGTACGTTGATAAGCAGGTCGCAAGAGCAGCCAGTGATGAAGGCGGCAGCAGCAGGGGGGAAAGAGAATGGCAACGAGGATGAGGAGTATATCTGAACCCTTCATGGTTGTGGTCAAGCTATGTTCGTGTCGTCACGAGATGACATCATCATATTTCTTCTCATCCTGCGTCATGGCACAGCGCGAACATGTTGGGTCTAATCTCTGAATGAACGTCTTATTCTTAGTTTTCCTGTCGAAGCGGCTTGTTTCGGCGGTGAGAATAGTATGCCGGAAGGGGCAGACCAGGATGAAGTTGAAAATTGATGCCGAATCAAAGAGCAGACGGTGTGGACTGTGGAATCCTTGCATGGGTGTAAGCCCCTTGAGAAACAGAAATATAAGTACATCGAGAAAGTCTCTTGGGCGTGTCTAATATTCTAATTGACGATGAGGGTTTACATGTCACAAACTCGTGTTTTTGTTCGCAACTATGACCTAGTGAGCTGAACGAAATGAAATCTCTTCCGGCCATAACTAACAACCGCAGCACGATTTTGGGCCGCGCCATTCCGAAGCAATACCTTTCTATGGGAACACTTGCGACCATCGCTGGCGTAGCCGTGTATTCTCGTTCTGGCAAGTCAGCGGCTCCAAAATCAATGGACGAAGCCAAGAACTCCGTTCCACTTAATGCTGGTTCAAAGTGCGTCTGTCGTCCTTCTTCCTGACCCGAGCTGACCGCTGGTGCCATAGAGAGGAGGAGGAATTGTACGTTTCTCTACTCACTCTTCGCTTTGACTATTCATTTGACGAGGGCGGACAGTATAAGAACGTTTATTGCAGAGGCGGAGAAGGAGTCAGTCGCAGCTAAACATTAGACAAATTCATCTGTTATGAACTGTAGAAAACCCTCCTTGCTCTGATCACTCATGTCCTCCAAACGGCATTCGCTACCAGTTCCCCGACCTCTTCAATTAACCAGTGCGCTCAGCGACAGCCCGTTGACATCCCCCTTCACGCCAAGCATAAGTACGACACCCACCACGCCGAATGCGCGACGGTCATCCTCCATCGTCTATAATCCTCCCCGTTCAACGCAAGGACCGACACGTAGTCACTCAGTGGGGGGATCTTTGGGAAGACGTCGTTCTGCGCCTCCTGAAAGGTCTCCAGCGCCCGTCACCCTGGCAGATAGACATAAGGACTTACTAGAATTCATCGCTCAGAAGGAGGCAAAAGTTTTAGAATTGCGAAGTCAATTAGCGGCCCATGAAAATGAGCTTCTGCAACGTATGTGGCGAATTTTTCGTACATGTGCGATGCTAAAGTGGTTTGTAGTGAAGCGAAAGTGGGAGCGGATTGTCAGCCGTGGGTTTACTTCACACAACATACCGAGCGTTTCTGGTGTCAACATCGAGACCGACTCCTCAATAACTTCCCCCACAAATAGTGGCGCGATGCTAGACGGTATTCGAGAGGGCGTGCAAGGGGTTGGACGTCTCATTGCTGCCTTCTCGCCAACCCCATACTCGACATCTGAATCCCCTACGCGCCATACGCACTCAACAAGCTCCAGTACATCTGGGACTAGTAAATCCACGCGTCTTTCACAGTCTTCTACTTCGTCAATCGAGGAAGAGTCGAGTTGTGCTGACGATGCGGAGGGACAAGTCCTTATGGTGCATGACACTGGCGCAACTCCGACTATGAGTCCAAATCCTGCCTTTAATGTTCGTCGACACCAACAACATCTCCCTGAACAAGCCCCTCAGGCCGAGGAGGGGTTATTCGATTTCGCTGTGGCCAATGCAACGAGTATTCACGGTGCCACACCAGCTTCTGGGTGGGTTGGAACAGTGGGTAAGAAATGGGAAGAACTTCAGCGCGTTCCGAGGTGTGTCCTCTTTTCTTTTATATCATCCCTATTATTCATGCCGCAAGTTTAGTGTCGCAAAGAACACGAAACGAGCGTCACTTTTGTTTTCTGACATTGCGTCTGCCTTGCAAGGTGTAACAGTAACATCTTCGTCCCCGTCCCCGTCCATCTCTTCGACATCTCTTCTCGACGATGATTCATTGGGTGATGCCATGCTACTCCAAGCTCCTGCACTGACGCCCGCGCCAGTTGCGTCTCTCAAGTTGTCTGCTCGGATGGTCTCCAATAACCACCAACAACCGCAATCCCTACTACCTCCAGCTAATGCCACGTCAAAGCCTCCAGAGGTAGCGACACGAAGAGACGATAGTGACGACGAGTGGAATTGGTAGCTTGACTGTTCATAATATCATCGTTTACAATAAATCGTCTTCCTCTCTCCAATTCTTTGCCTGGTCCCAATATCCCCTCAACCTATCGCCCAAGAGCTCTTTGGCATCGCCGTCGGTCTGACAATGGCGGACTCTGAACTCGTGGAACGCCCGTTCACGCAACATACCCTGCCAAACCATCCAACAAGTGTTGCCCTCCAGCGACACCGGCTCCTGCACTTCTTGGGCTGCTGGACTTTCATCGCGGTCAGCTTCGTTGTCCTGTAAGACTACATCATCTCCGCCTCTAGGTCGAGCCGCTTGGGTCCAAGCAATTCGAATCAACATGAGCTTTTTATATTTTTTCAGGGATTTCGCAGGACCTTCGACGTAGATCATGCTGAAGTTGGGACCCATAATGCACAAACCGGAAAGGTTCATTTGCTCTGCATTCTTCCGCACCTTGAATCGATGCGCAGGATCTGAAAGCACCTTGACTCTGTTGAAACAGGCATCGTCAGCAATTAGATGGGGAAGTGAGTGGGCTTGCTTACTTGAACACCGCTCCATATATTCCACGCTTGTCCTCCTCAGCCTTTTTCATCTCAATCTTCTCACGTCGCTGTTCGTCCGTCAGCTTACGCTCCTCGTTCATCTTTTCATGCGTGTGCTTGCGCATAGCCACTTCTCGCCGGATTCGGGCCTCGACTTTGGTGGGGTCTTGTACAGCATCGGAAGTGAGCACTTTCATCATGTTCGAAAGTCGAACTGGAGAGGAATGAGTTTCACATTTGTTGGGCACACACTAAAAAAAAACTGACCTTTCGGTGCGTCGGGTGGGATCAGACCCATAGCTACGCGGTCCCGTTTGTCCTGCAAATCGCCTGCACGCTTCAGTTTCCTCATCTTCTTGCGTTCCTGCAACGACATTAAGCACCAGGAACAGACGTTGTGAAAAAATGATATTAACCTTGGTAGTTAGCATCATGGGCTTTAAAGCAACCTTGTTTTTGTCACCAGGAGCAGGAATGGGAATAGGATGCTGGACGTAGATCGTAATCGGCGAGTCCACGCTCCGAATATTTGGTATTTCTTCGACAGCATATTCATCCAAATCCGCATAGTTCTTGTTGGGTAAAAGGGGCTGGTCCCACCACTCAGCGTCGGGAGGAGAAGTGCGCTGGTGAATGATTGAGCATTTCTGTCCGCATTGAAGGTTTTACATACCTTGATTCCACGCTCAATCCCCATATCTCCATCTAATCCTGCCTTTCGAGCACTCTCTGCGATACGTTGTTTCAGGGCCTCCAGCTGGTTTTCTTGCCGCATTTGAGCCCCTAATGCAACATATTTTCCTTTGGCATTGAATCTGAAACTACGTCCTGTGCGTTCCTTCGGTGCGCCTTCAAAGAGCAGCGTATCTTTGGACGTGGCTGACGCTGCGTAGGGATTTTTTTCGACGACAGGAACGGAAATCGGTGCGACAGGCGGGGGAGCAGGTACATTGCGGACATTGGCCTTGATCGAGGCAAATTTAGGTTGCATAGGCTTGTATCGGTCTTTCTTTGACTGTGGTGCGGCCGGTGTCGTGTCCAAAAGGAGAGGGTGTGCAGCCATTTTTAATCCAGCTCCTTGCGGTGGGATGTCAGCTGAGGTAGACTTCTTTTTCAAGGACTAAGAGGAGGATTAGGAAAAATAAGAAACCTCAAAAGACACACACACACCATATAGGGGTTATCATTTGCACCCATTCTTGTATGTGCATCCTCAACTAAGCGCTTAACTCGCTTATTGATAGCATCGGTCGAAGGAACGGGAGTCCCGGTGGTGGAACCGCCAGAAGGGGATGGACTTGGTTTTGCGACAGCGACCGCAAGGCTCGGGTTTTGATTTCTCATGGCTGCAAGTTTCGCAGCGATTTCGGCTCGTTTTTCAGCAATCAGAGCTTCAGAGGATAGCTGAGAGCATTCAGCAGAGAGAAAATCTAGGGAGTTAACGCTTACCCCGGGTGTTGCAGTGGATCCATTGACCTGAGAGCAGAAAGGTTATAGACAACGAGTCAGACAATAGTGCGTATTCACCTTGGAAGAGCACTCACACTACTAGAAACCCGTCAGTAAGGGAATGAAATACGAGGAAACAAACCTTTTGAGCTTTTTGTTTGCCGGGGTTTCGCCATTGCCGTCGAATGCGCGTTTCTTCTCACTCATCGTTGGTCGAAAGAACGAAATGTAACGTGTGACATTGTGCGTGCCGTGCTGTGATGTTTTGTGCCTCCTCCACCCGCTCGATACTCACTCGTCGACCAATACCGTCATCCACGCCTATCTTCTCTCGTGCACGAAACAATCTTGCACCAAGACAGGTGAAGCATTCGAAGCGCCACAAGGGTCGTGTACCAATTCCTATCGGCGGCTCGACGAGAGGGACGACCCTCGCATATGGCGACTGGGGTCTCCGAATCAAAGGCAACGGTGTACGGCTCAGCGCAAAGCAGCTAGAAGTTGTAGACGATACCATAAAGAAAAAGCTCAAGGTCCTCAAAGGCGTGAAAGTCTACCTACGCGTTTTCCCCGACATTCCTGTTTGCATCAAGGTGCACCATTCCCTGGACACGCTTCTCGCATCGTTCATTTCTTTTTTTTAAAGGGAAACGAAACTCGAATGGGTAAGGGCAAGGGAACTTTTGAATTCTGGGCAACGAGGCAAGTCCGATATTTACTCGCCTTTCACCCACCTGATCCTCGTCGGTCAGGGTTCCTGTCGGCAGGGTCATCGTTGAAATTGGCGGGATTCCTATTCGCGAAGAGTTGGCCAGAGAAGGTATGTCTTGTCCCTAGAATTTGTGTGTTCGATTCATGACAGTGACAGCCTTGCGACTTGCTGCAGCCAAACTGCCGACGAAAATGGAGTTCATTAGTCGATTGACCCCACCTCGTCTTGGCAACCTCATTCTTCCTCCGAAACCATCCCAGTCAGAGCGAGAAGTTCTAGCACCTGACCCATAAAAAATTACATGCATGTCCGATTAGATATACAATAAGCTTTACTTGTGATCCAGCAGATTCTGCTCCTTCCAAACTTCGCAACCTCTCCCTGGCCCTTGTGAATGATGTAAGTACCCGGGAGTTGGCCACGAACCTCCTGTGCAACGATACCTGCCATTGGTGTGCTCGAAATCGGCGCCGCATTGATAGCAGAACTGTCGGTGTGAGTGGATTTTCTTCCCAGGTGAAGCAAGCCCTACATGATGTTTGCACACACACGTTATGTGGCTACGCAAAGCACTCATGTTAGGTCAAAACGGGAAACCTGAACACCCACTTGCAGCCAGACTGAGACAAATGTCAACTCGCATCGCTTGAGGCATCGATTCATACCTTGAGCTCAACCATTGCCGAACACTACACGGGTCAGACATACTACAGTAATGCTGGCGGTGGGATACCAACCAACCTTTGGACACCGTCTCCATTTCTCCTGCTGGGCCAAGTCAGTAAATGCTATATCCTCCGGGGCACGTTCGTTCAAAGGTAGTGCCTGGTATGCTTCGCAAGTCAACTCTGTATCGGAGCTCTAAGCTGCACAATAAAAGGGTAGACGACATACTTTCATGCCATACGGATTTGCAGCTCTTGCAAAGAGAGGCTCCGCATCGCGGGCATTGTGCGAGTGTCAGTGCATGTTGGACTCCACTACTAGTAGGCGCAGGCGCAATCTTGGAGGCTTCGTGAGAAAAAGGCCAAGCAACTATAAGGCAAGCGTCAACGTCATCCGCGTCGAACTGCTCCCCGCAGTTTTTATGTGGGCTAGCGTCAGAGTCAAAGAGCTTCTTGTGCGATACATCAGAATCTCTCACCAATAAATCAGGTTTAACTTGGACAAATATCTCTGATGACTCCATTCCTCCATGTTTCCTGGGCCCAGAACCAACTGCGCTATGCGATCGCTGATTTCTGGCGCTTGTTCCCCAGCCCTCCCGCGACATTGCTAGGGCAATTTTCCAATTGAGTCCAAAAACATTCGTGGGACGCACTGGACAGCATATCGGGAACTCTGGTTCCATTCCCTGGGCTGCGAGTGGCAACTCCTCTAAGATTGTCCCATAGTTTGCGGGGTCAAATGCAAAGTTGAGAGCATGATAGATCGCTTGCGCAAGGCAGGCCTTATTATTGTTATTATTCAACAACTCTGGCTCCAGGAAGAAACAAACTTACTCCACAAAACACATGTTTACACGTTTCGAACTGGATTCCATGCGAAGAAGGTCGCTGAGGTGGGCGTAGGGATGAGCCTTCAATTGGTATTGGCGTGATGACCTCCGAGTCGTCAGAATCATCGCTCAGTTCAGCAATGAGACGATCACTGTAGAGCATAAGCCGAATACGAAGGTAACTATGTTTGACCTCGCTTAGACGCAGCTTGCCATGGATTGGGTGTGAGTGAGCAGTGTTTGAAGCATATCGAGCATCTTGGCCCTCTCGGTTTGAGTGCTGTTGTTGCCATAGTGTGATTTGAGTCGCGACTACTCATGCGCTGCAGTTGGGCGGTCGCTTCCTGTAGCCTGCGGAGTTCGCGTTTGACAGGATCAACCTGAGCTTCGCGTGCGGCAGTATAAGCTTGGATAGCGGCTGACCCTGGAGGCTCAAAACTGCCTGTCTGAGTGGCCGCGTGAGAGTTGACGACGATAGGTGCCCTGCAGACGTACATTAGAGATGCAGTTGCCCATGATTCAGATGCGGCGGTCAAGAAACGAGAGAGTCAATGAAGGTCTAAGACCAAGGTCTTTATATAAAAGATGGCATTGGCACACAAACGTTCGTCGGCAACTATCAGACTACTTAGTACGTTGAAAGCAAGATTTGACTGCACGTGATAACTCATTGATTCTGATAGGCGGAAACAATAAGATTAGATATTAAACTATAGGCGCCGGAAGCTTTGTCCTGAAGAGAGGACAAGAGGTTAAGGTCGGCAGGCCCAAGTACGCCCCAGACGGGTAACGCGATGCGAGACTGAGTCCGTCGCCAAAGCGAAGCTGGACAGCCCAGAAGCACGGAGGAGGGAGGGCTCGGCGCGAAAGGGCTGGGAGGGTGAGGGCAGATGAGGAAGACAAGTCGCGGTGAACGCGAGGAGTAACGCGGCAGTCACAGCTGATCTATTCGATACTACTTATCGTGGTGGGACTTTCTCCCAGTCGAGCGCCATCATATCTCCCGCTGACTGTGCTCACAATAAGGTAGTGCATTATATGTTATGGCCACTTTCGTGCGGTTCTCAGACAACGGGCCTGTTTGGACCCAGCCTAGCGACTACTTCTCTTGGATAGACAAAAGTGCCTCCAATTCCTTCAATCTTGTCTCCCACGTTCCCTTCTCATCCAATCGACTCTCCAACATCGCAATCTCTCGGTCAATTCCAATCCGTCCCTCGGGTGTGCCAACCTTGGAGAGTGTCCACTTGCCAGTTCCATCTCCCGTCAGCGTCAAGAGCAATGTGTGGTACTTTGCAAGCGATGGACGTAGGGAAATCGTCTAAAAAACTCTCATCACCACGAGTAAAATGAAATGAAAGCAAACGCACAATTAAAGTTATCCCATGCTTCTTCAAGTTATCGTACATGCGGCCCTCAACATCACTCGAGACCGCACTTGTACACTCGTCCAGAATTGCAAACTTGGGGCAGTGGTACAAAACCCGTGCCAATCCCATCTGAACACTCTATTAGTCAGATTTAACGAAGGACTGGACGCAATACTGGCCCTTTGTTTCTCGCCGCCACTCAACACATCCCGCCACTCCTTCCTGGTCGTCCAGCCCCCCTCCCGTTCTGGAAGGTATGCCAGGAAAACCATTTCGAGGATCTGCTTCAAATCTTCTATGGTTTTACCCGACTTGACAAAGTCTGGATAAGAGTGCGGATATATTATCTGATCAAGCAGACTTCCAGTCACCATATACGCTCGCTGGGGTACAATCACGATGTTGGGACGGTCAACAGTGTCGTGTGGCCTCCCCAATGATGCATCAGCACCTTGAGGAGGCCAAAGCCCCGCCAGAATGCGCGCCACAGATGTTTTTCCGACTCCATTACTGCCAGTGATCATCAAGTGCTCGCCGTTCTGGACCATAAACGACAAATCGCGAACAAGAGGGGTCGAGTCCACTCTCGAAGAATCGTCTGTTGACTGCGGAATGTCGATATCCACTTTGCTCAGTCGTATAAACTCTGCGTCAGCTTCCGCCGAGGCGACTGGCGGGAGGTTATGCAAGGTAGAGATAAGTGCGTAGATCCTCGTCGTTAGACCTATACTGCCAGTAAGAATTAAACTCTTGGGGAACTGGCTTTATTTACCGGCAAGCTCGAGCAAATCCTTGTAGGCGTACCTAGGAGTTGTTGGTTATTGCATATAGATTTTGTGACGGGACCAACATAAGCCTGCCACCGGCATCGGCGAGGGAGATCAGGAGACGCCTGTTGGAAATGTAGGCTAGCATCTGGTAAGTAAGTGGCTCAAATGGACGGTTCATCACTGACTTTCTGTTCGTCCCGCAACTGCATCATCCTGCTGTTTTCCGGTTGTTGATGGTGGCCTTTGCCGTCTTGTAAAAAGCAGCGGCACTGCGATAAGCCCATAACCGGCTGCGGACCATAGGTACTTGATGACGTAGTCTTCTGTCCATTCGTATGCAATACGCAACTAGATGAATGGTTTGTGTTGTTCGACGAGGAGAGCACTATTTACCTTGTAGATGTTGTTGATGTGGGAGATGAGCCTCAGATATGCACGGCTTAGAATGTCCAACTCTCTCGCGCCGCCTTGTGGACGTTAGTTAGAGCAAAAAGGGAAAATTGATGTGCTCGCACCATCGTAGAACCTGCACAGCATTCGTAAGCATCACACCATACTATCAAAAGACAACATACGCAATCTCCTCGCCCTCTCTACCTATGCGGCCCATCCCAGCTCGATATTCTCCCTGTGTTGCCAATTACCACGAATGCACAATTTAAAACATCAGATACCAACTTCAAGGCGAGCTTCGATAGCAGCCAGCCTCCCGAAAGCCGGGGTGATCGCGCGTAGGATTGCGGCGGTCAAATAATAGGTGGAATATCTAAACTTGGTTAGAACTTAGGATGCACACATGAACTTTGTCAACAAACAGCAGAATTGAGCCGCGATATCCTAAAGAGCGGCTAAGTTGCAATGTAAAAAGTATCAGGTCAAGCGATGGTTTGAGGATGTTTCCATAAAGCCCAGAGAGCGCCTCAGCCCACGATTCGATGTCGGCTGTGATGTACTGGTCGACACCGTCAAGTCCTGTTCGATAGTAGCGTAGGTGGGGTGCGGAGGAAAGGTAGAGATCATGAGCATAGCGCGTCACACGAGTCCGCATTCGTAACGACAATTTGGATTGGAGGTGTCGTATCTATTCGTCGGTGAACGATCCATTATGCAATATGCAAGTTGATAATACCATTGAATTCGTATATGTGCTCGGAATGGCAAGTAAAAACCAGAGACCGAGGCCCTTGAGGAATCCTTTGCCATCTGCGCGGACCTTGACTGGATGTGTTCGTGATAGCCAGCCACAGAAGAACGTTCTCGTACCAGGTCTCTCACGATAACACCGTCAAGCCTAGAGTCGAGCTAAGTACCAACAAAGTCACGTTATGAGGACGTGCCTAGCCACCATAATGCTGAGGACGGTTCTCAAAACAAGAAAGAAAGAGTGGGAAACGAGGATCAAGGTTTCTTTAGAGCGAAAAGCTGGAAAGGCGATGCGAAATAGAATGGCCTTGAGCTGAGCCAGAAAAACACGATCGATATTCGGTTTTGTTGAAGGTTGTATTGGCGGGAAGTGCGGAGCGTCTGAGTGAAACTTGGTGGCCGGGATCGGATGTATCGGAACCTAGTGCTGATTAAGGGTTGAAAGTGAACTGCTAAGGCCCACAAGCCTTGGAAAGCCTATCACGATGAGGTACTAGCAGCTTTTTGAGGCCATCCTCCTCGATATAAACCTGTTGTACTGCATCGGTGAGTTCCTGCGGAGTGAGCTTTTTAGCGCGAAGACGCGGGAGTTGGATATTTTCGGCAAGCTTGACAAGATTTCCTCTGACGAGTAGCAGTGCTGCGATGAGGACGACTGCGTGTTTTCTCGTTATGGGAGGGGGCCCCAACATGGTCGAATGAAACCAGTGAGCGAGTTAAGTAACATGTGAAAATGGACAACTCCGAAAGGTAGATCAAGACACGTGATATTTAATTCATCCAATTATACCGTCAATGGTTGTTCGTCATGCACTCAGCACAGTCCACCGCGGATTGGCATTCGAAGAGCGTTCGATGCAAACTCTACAAGAAAATCTTTCAATGTCGCTCTCTAGAGTCGGCGGTAAAGATGATGGGGGAATTGACTTAATGGGCTGGTGGTGGCTCCCGCCGAATGATTTTAACCCATGTTGTCCCGAAGCGCTTGCAAAACGCCGCCGGTTGCGCATTCTCGCTCAGTGCAAGGCCGAAAAGAAAAAAGCTGGTCCAAAGTACATCCGAGAGTTAGAAGGCGTCTTACACCGACACATTTCACTTGCGCCAAGCCATCCATTGGTCGCGTTGTTTGTCTCGGAATCACCATTCACAAAAGCTACCATCTTACGAGCGCAGTCGTCTCCCCTGCCTTTTTTCCTCCTGCACTTGCCACCAGAGGATACTGTTGGGTCAGCCATGTGGAATCCAGCGCTTGCGGGAGGTCATGGGTTACTTGGAGGTAGAATACAAGTACGATGGGAACATGTTGTCTCCGGCGCGGGCCGGCCAGGTTTGTGGTGGGACACTCATCGACTTGTCAGTTGGACGCCAGCAACTCATTCCTTAAATACGATATAAGTACATTAAGCAAGTAACGAAGCATCTTCTAGATAGCGCTGCATCAGTTGATCTTTTACTACGAACAGATAAGAGAACAGTCCAGAAAGAAGAACTTGAATAGTCTTACTGTTAGCCAAGATCAACTGTGTGGACTTGCGGTCCTACACATAGATGAGCCTCTACGCAACTGGAAACTATCCCACTTACCGTAACAGTGGTCAGATGACAATAGAAAACGCGCGGTGAGGGCGACTTTTCTTTGAAAAGCCCTCCAAATTTCTTGCGCAAGTCTACACGAGTATCTGAGGCCACTCGAATTCCTGCTCAAAAGGGATAACTCACAACTAGACGCACTTTCGAAATCGTTTGGCCGTTTCCCGTAGGAATTAACGTAATCAACGAATCTGATACCAGATTCCTATGAAACAAAAAGTCCTGAATTCTGAAGCAAGAAAGGTGTTTACCAGTTTGCTTTTCATGATGTCTGTTTTGTTTAAAAACAGGATGATGTTGGTTTTTGCCAGAAGCTTATTCGACACTATGGTTGTCCACAAGTTCACCGAGTCCGCCTGCCGAGACCTTGAGTATCCTCCGTAGGTTAGGTTATCAACTCAAGAAACGGACCAAACGATTGACCCGGGGTTCTTCTGCAAGAACTTGGTCGAAAGCAGATATCGGACAAAGAAAGATGATGGAATGCATATCGTCGAAGTACGGTGCCCATGCCGCTGTTGATCGCCCAATGTCACCTTGAATACGATCGGGATACGCCACTTACGTCGCTAGTATACGAGCTGAAAGAATGGTGCAGAACGATCACGTGTTGTTACTCACTAAAGAGCGATGGCCACCGACTATATAAACAGGTTAGTGACTGCCACATTTTCTACTTCTTTCGCGCGCTTACCATCGTAGATTCGCCAATCACGACTGATGCTCCCGGTCATTCCACCTCAGAGGCTATTCATCACAGGCAGCAAAAGACAGAGCTATGCTTACCTGATGTCATTTTGATTCTGTGCTCCGATACACCCTATCGTGAGTCTGGGAAAGGCTTCAAGCATAAAGCATCATTACATACGAGCGTCTTCAAACGGGCACGAAGGATGTGATCTAGTGTTGCGGTGCGTGAGTCGACACAAAAGCGACACCATTGGCAATGCTGACCGTCGGAGGGTATATAGTCCAATGACGTGACCTCATCCAAACAATCCAAGAAGCTAAGTATTGCTTCAGCAGCGATCTTCCTATAGATATACCATACAATCCTGCCGCCTCTTGGAGACGTATATTCTGTTGAATCAACAGCGACTGCACTTTTGAGCTGCCCCAAAGAGTTTTGAGGTCATTTGCATGAGTATGAAGCAAAACACCGGTGGCATCCCGCTCGGCGGATTCCTCGTTATACTTATCACGAGAGAAGAGGTCCTTCCACTGTGTCGTAGAATTGATGGTAACTTCTCCTTTGACCCCTCCTGGTTTGTGTGTGTAAGGAATTTGTGCTATTTGCGCGAGACGAGCAGCATCGGACTGGTCGGAGCCCGATGGCATCAACCGTTGCATCAACACCTCTTCGACATGGATGAGAGGAGAGAGTCGTCTTTTGAGAGCGAGCAGCTCTTGGTCAACAAGGGGATCGGAACTATCGTCTTGCGTTAGTCTTTCAGCCCGAGTGATGACCTCTAAGATAACATGAATCGACCGAACAACATTTAGTTCAATGACAGTTCTCCAGGAAGCACGTTCCGCATGGAAAGCCTGGACGCGTCAAGAGGACTGCCTTTTCGTTGCGAATGCAAACCTTGGGATCATACATGAGCTGAAAGTCTTATCCATTTTTAGTGAATTCTTCTCATAGATAACTGCAACGTACTTTTGAGCGTTGTACTCTTGCCTTGTGGTAATTAGTGTTTGAATCTTGCAGGGAGAGTTTGGTGCAAACAAACCAGATTCACTCTGACCTTCAATCTGGTCATTAACACGTCGAGTCAGCACAATGAAGATAGACGACACACCAAGCAGCAGAACTTTCACTGGTTTAGTGCCTTTCTTGTCTTGTTGACGCTCTCTAGAGAGCTGCTCGTCGATCGCGTCCGAAATTTGCTTGGCCTCTTTCTCCAAGAGCAAGCGAACATCTCGTTGCTCGGGAGTTTCGCCTTCCGGTGGTGCAAGAATGAGTGCAAAAGGATCACCATCCTCTAATGAGCGGCGACGGCGGACTTTGCTCGGCATTGGGAGACCCAAGCGATGACCTTGAAGATTACCCGCAAGTGCTGTGTGCGAGTAAGCACTTGTAGCACAACCAAGGAGCGAATGGTCTTCCCACGTCCCGAGTCGACGTCTTCAGTTATGCTTGATGGATGATTGCATGATTGCTGATGAAGGGAAGACGCGAAGACCGAGAACTGAGAAGAGATTCAGAGTTGAAGATGGCCGCCATTTCTTATGATCCTTACATCTAGTTATGAGCAGCTAAATATTGAGCAGCAAAGTCCGAACTCGTCGCCTAAGGAGTATGGAAATGTCACGTCCGCCGTCATAGTCGGGCCCGACTATTGCGGAGTGACAACTGCTTGCCTATTTTTTGACTCCGCCTGTCTCGGACGGCTGAACATATGTATAGGCCATCTTTTTCTACCACACCCTCATGGCTTCCTGGCACACACTTCCCACCGAACTCCACCTCCAAATCGTTGAATGCCTCGAAGAAAAGGAGGCTAGAACTTTCTCTGCCGTTAACCTGCAAGCATACCGTGTCTGCGTTCCGTTGCTTTTCAGAGTAAGCGAGATTCTGTCCCAGTTGAATAACAAGTAACTGTATTCGCAGCATGTACATCTCCAACATCTGGATAGTTTCGTCAACAACGTTCCACGAGCGTATTACCGTCACATTCACACCCTCGAGCTTCACGTTAACGGTCACATCGATGCACTGAGCACTCTACTCACCGCAACCCCCTGTCTAACAACTCTCGTCCTCCATCTCAATGGTTCTATTGAGCATGATATAATTCCTGCATTCCTACACGCAAGGGCCTTGCGAAGCCTGACGATCCGAAATGTGTCTCCTGAAGTGCTGGCTCCATTGTAATTCTTCATTCATGCGGCGTTCAGCTCCACTGATCTTACTTTGTAGAAGCGAGCGTCTGGTTGTTTCCATTGCAGCCTCAGTACCCGAGCTGCACCATCTTCACCTCGAACGCATCTCCCGTTCGGTCCTTCACGCTCCCGAACTTGTCGGCAAGCACCCTTTCGTGCCTCTTGTCGCGGGAGACTCGGATATTCCACACCACCCTACTTTGGGTGCCTCACTCAATCTTCCGTCTTTGCTGTCGATTCCATCTTTAAAACAGCTGACAATTCACGACACCCATCTTGGAGATCCAATGTGGACAACAACACCAGTTTTGTGCAATCTCCAGATGCTCGATCTCGGCAGTTGCGCTCACGAACCTAGTGCACCCAACCGCCTAGCCATCGAACGTATCATGTCAGCGGTCGGACCATCACTCTCTGCTTTCTCCCTCCCCACTGCCCTTGAAGCGCCGCCTCCTTTACCCCGCCTCCGGTCTCTTCACATTTCACCCTTCGTTCCGCCCGACCAAGTCGTCGATACGGTTGCGGCCCTTGCGGAGTCGCCAATCGAGGCGCTGAGTGTACAGTGCTTTGCGGAGGATGTTGCTGACGCATGTGGAGCTCTCGAAGCATTTCTGGCTCTTCGATGTAGTCGCGGTCCCTCCTTCTTTGGGAAACTGAGTCGCATTGATGTTGCCATTTCTGGCGAGTTGGACGCACTGGATCCTGCGCATGACAAGGCCGCTGAGCGGCTGATGGACTTTTGTAGAAATATCCATCTCACCAGCTTTGTGCCTAGAAAGCGTCGAACCTCTGCTGGAGACCGTCTACGTTCTAATTCATGTGCATTTTGATTCCATTCAAATAACTTATTTGTTAACTAACTGCCAAGTCGTTTCTTTGCTGCGAGTCCTGCGCATTGCTTTGTACTAAACAGATATTTGGTTGGGTCGTTCAGGGCTCGAGGCCTCCAAATCATGTTTGGTTGGTTGAACCAATAAAAAAGGCGTTACTCCCCAGCTTTTCACAATTTCATCTTTGGAAGCACCGCTTTCCGTGTCTGCAACCGTTCGATCCACGGTGAACTCAGGCGTATCCTCTGGCTCGGGGAATAGTCGCTTGACACCCAGGTAGAGCAAGACATTGACAAGCCCAGACAGGTCATAAATGGCTCCGGTTACAGCTTGGACCCACAATGGGACGTCAGCCATACCACAAAGAGCAGGAATCCGGGCGATGGCGGCTGGAAGTATCGTTGCCGCAAAGGCGATCTGTCAATACTGAGCCACTGGAATTTCCAACAGGCCATAAAGGATACATACCGGGTACCAAACCATGTGTTGAACCAGGCCTAACATGGCCGAGTCGGTGTAGTCACGCCCCAAAGCAAGTTTCCATGATGCACCACCTCGAAAGTTCCACCGTCCATCAGTATGAAGTAGGTTTCCCCGAACCCTCAGGAATGTCATCAGATGTAGCACAAAGCTAAGTCCCACTGATAGAAATTGCTATTCGTGGCATGGTCAATGCAAAATTCGGCGCAAAGCTCGCGGGCCATACCACGAGATATTCAAGAAGGATTTGTTCTGACCGGTAAGCTGGAGTTATCCAGCACCTAAGTGGTTTTGAGTTGGGGATGTTCAGCAGAGAAAGCCCTGGAAACTCACCAGAGGCCTGAAATACCAAAATAGTGTCCGCGCGACTGACTCTGGATGGCAACGGGGCCAAGGAAGACACACATGAACACAAAGCTCCAACCAAACGCAATGATGGCCAACGACACAGTCCGAGAAGTTTGATATCGCAAGAACAGGAGGTTGAAAAGGTGGAACGAGATAACAAAACTCCAGAGCGCTGCAGCAATGTTACCACCCTGCTTGATGCCTCCTTGTGCGTAACAATGTGCTGAATGTCGTCAGTAAGTTCGATATGGCAAAAATGGAGCATGTACACCCATCCACGACCTCGTTCGATATAACCCATTTGAGGCTCATGATGGTTCCCCAATTTTGCATGATGTTGGCGAGGCATAAGCACAGGAAATAAGCTAGGAAATGGGTGTGTCGATACTTCTTTTTGTGTTCGAAAATGATGAGCTACATTTGTGAGTTCGGACTCGATGACGATGGAGAAGACGCACTACAAATAGACCCAAAACAGACACAAGAGATATAATCCCACAGATGACAAGTACCAAAACGGTATTACGCTGGCCAGGAGTATAGTTAAGCTGTAAAGGAGACGGTGCGGCATCCAAGGGGACCATCTCCGCCCGAGGGGAATGGTGATTGAGGGCTCAGCCCACAGTGGAGGTGAAGACCAAGTCAAGGCTTGATTGGCATCATCAATCCCATCGCATGACTAAAACTGGCCATGTCTGACACTTTCGAGCTCTACGATCTGCGCATCGAGATCATCTGTCCTCCAGGAGAACGCATCCTATGCGGAGCTAAGCCTGGTGACCATTTCGTTCTTGAAGGAGAGATGCTACGACTTCCGGCAGGGCAAGGCGTGTCCATCTATTCATTAGGTGGAGTAAGCTCATCAGTCGGTTTTATCTCTGACTGACTTTCGGAAGCTGCGGTGCTTCCCTTACTTGCCGCCAAACAACGTGAAACCCACACAAACGACTGGATGACTTCAGATGCGGACATTGCATGTCCAGACCCAAATTGTCCTTCCCGTCTTCGCATTATCAGAACTGGGAGACGTGTATTCAGTCATAAGGAGACAACTGTCGTCGAACTTGCGTAGAGTTCACAAAAAATCGAATGCTGTGCTCCTCCATCCATTTCGACCTCTTTCAAAACGTTCTCTCTTCGCCGTCAACGCCGCTGATCGTTCACTAACTTCCCTCGTTCTAATCACCTCCTCCGTAACGTTTGCTGCGCCGGCTTCAAGAGCCTCCACAACCGCTCCAACATGGTTTTCAGCATAATCCGGGAATAGTTGGGGTCCAATTCCTGCCGCAACCGTTGTTGTACTTTCTGCGGCATCTGTCGTGGAGTAAATGAGGCCTTGCATTGTTGTTTGCAGACGTGATTGTACTGGAACACTCTCTTCACGATTAGGCAACGTCGTCATCATTGCGTTCCAATACTCCTGAATTCCCGGCTCTCTGGCACCGCCGATTCGGCTGGCTTCGTCGATAACCGCTGAAAGCAGTCGGTTCGTCCCTTCAACTGCTTGCTCTATCTTCTGTCTGAAAGTCCTTTGTAGGAAGAAGCGGATGAGAGAAGGAGCCAATGGCTGGACCAGTAAGGCATTGATTAGCCAGTGTTTACTATGTCGAATCGCAATCGATAACCGCGGGACTTGAATTGTTGCATCCGCGAGACGGAAAAGCGATCCGCTGCTTTCTTCTTGCCTCGTGTTAAGCTCCAAATTTATAACCATGCCCTTTGTTGTGCCTTCTCCGACATGGATGTCCAATGAACCTTCGTCTGTGTAGGTGAAGGCGCCTTTATACCTCAGGTACCAGCCCAGACCGCGCACAGAGAAACATAAACCTTCAATGCGTGCCTTGATACGACTTGAACTCGTAAGGTGGGTGTTCCCCGTCATATCGACCACGACCTCATTCGAATTCGCTATACGGATCTGGTCTGCAGGCATGGGTGAACTCGTCGACAGTAAGAAGGAGTCCAGAGCGAGATCAAATATATCAGTCTGAACCTCGATATGTGGCATTGGGAGAAGATGGATTGACCCCAGAAGACTCGGTATAAGCCAGGTCAATATGTTGGTGAGAAATGCATCCTGTTGAACTTGAGCACGAGTCATGGAAACCAGTCCTTTGAAGATGGCAGAAAAAGTTTGAAGCGAGCTGACCAAACGCTGGGTGGTTTTATCTGACTCGAGTGCCTGCAGAAAAGACTGGGTCTCGATAACAAGAAGTCGCAAGTCTTTCGCCCACTGCGCGTTGGCTTCGGATGTTAACAGGGCTCGGCCAGTGTCAAATAGTTGCTCTGCTGTCCGCGTTCCTAAGCGCGAAGTTGCGAAATGGGGGGAATCCAGAGCATGATTGAACCACGAATGGACAGCGGCCAAGTACTGTGGTATTTCGCCATGTTGTGCATCGAGAAAGTGGATGACGGATGCGTTCAAGGCGTGCAGGAGTGGATCTAGCGAATGATGCGACGCTATCCTCTCTAGCAAAATCTTGATATTAAAAATGGCAGAATAGACCTCGGGTGATAATTCGACGTGAGCATCAATATCGTGTGAACTGATCAACACATCACAATATTTGCGACACAGCGAGAAAATAGTTTGTATCGCTGTTTTATACTGTGGATCTTGACGCACTCGATAAATCAACTTTTTAAAGGATCAATCAGTAACTTGAAGATGACTAATACTTACCTCTTGTACCCTACCAATTATGATCGTCCGCACATGGTCCGCAGGATCTCCAGCACGCTGCGTGAAAGTTGGAAGAGCTGTTTCCTCAGGTTGCACCGTTCCTGCAACGCTGTTTGCCGCAGACTGCACGGTTGCCGCAACATGACCAATGTGCAACGCGACCTCAGATATAGTCTGCCGGGTAGTCGCAACCAGCTCCGAAACAAGAAGGCGGAAAGCGGAGGAAGTAAGCGTCAGTTTACACAGAGACTTGAGCGATCCCAGAAACTGCTCGACGTCATCTTTGACTTTGGCCTGATCTAAACAGATATTATGGACAGTTTCAGGTGTAAAGGTACACATTTCGCACCGATGTCCGGAGGGGAACCGTCGACGAAAACTTGTGAGTGTACTTCGACTTTGTCTTGCTGTTGGAAAATAAACCACAAAAGTTGCTGGATTCTGTCATCATCTGTGCGCCTGCCAAATCAGAAACAAGTGCGAATACAGTAAGGGCTTGACCATTTTTCTCCAGTACAAAAGAGAGCAGCGTGTTTAGTATCTCTTTAAAGTCGTATTTGAAGCGAGAGTATCCGAGCAGTTTGGATCGAAGCACAAGCTGGATAATGTTTGAGAGTTGAGAACTCGATGGAAGCTTTCCAGCCTTGAGGGCTCCTAGACTTTCGGCGAAGTGGTCAAAATGTGCACTTGGTGATGCTTCTTGTCTGGAATCCTGGAGAAGAGGTTGCCTTTCAGCGTCTTTGCGCTGCCGGCGACAACAACAGAACCAACTCATTAGAATGACGTCACGCGTTGGCGAGTCACGTCGTCACAAACTCTCCTTTCTTTGTACCCTCAATGGGGGACATAGTGCCCGAAGCCACGATTCGTGCTCTATGTCTTAAGCAGCTCAATCTCAAGGCTGATCATCAGGTTTGTCGAGCTTCAACCACACACTAGAAAATATTGAACGCGTCCCAATTAAAGATTCCGCCAATCTACCTAGAAGAAGTTAAGAGTCATATAATTGACTTTTACCCACACGACACGGTTCGAGCCTTCACCTCATTGGATTTTCCCCATCTCAGCATACTCAGAGTTTCACTATCTCTTTTCAACGTGGCTTGGGCTGTAAGTGCCACGTTTAGTCATTGTGGGTCCTGGTGCGAAGTTCTATCTAGACGGTGTCGCCATCTGCCGCGAAAATGGCTGCAATAACATTGCCATTCCTCTCGGCTCCAATCCAAAGATACCTGACGGTGGCAAGGCATTGGGCTTTGGTTCTTTATTCGCATATCGTGTATGTTGTTGCTCTCTATTTGTTGTTGAGTACTCACTGGGCACTCATAGGCTCATCTAGCACGTCACCCCAACCACAGGATAGCACGGGAAGCAAGACTGCGTAGAACAGTAAGGCTTTCTGCCTGGCAATTGCACAGCATCTTATTGCTTGCCACCAGGTCCAACACCAATCAAGCGTTTTGAATGCTCACAATGGCAACGGCAATACCACCGATGTTCACTCTACCATCTCCATCAAGCAGGAGCCCGGAGATCTTGGCATTCCCCGTAAACGCACCAGCGACAACGTGTTCCTTAAAGGGGCGTCAGCTCATTTGAAGAAGAAAATCAAACGGGAAAATACCAACCCTCTTCTTCAGACTGAATCTGTTGAAGACATTCGTCTCAAGATCAACGATATCCAGCAAAACTTGTCGCATAAGCAGACTTTGTTGGACAGAGTCTTGCGGGCCAACGCGGCGAAAACTAAGGCGGGACAGACACGGATAACCAATCTCCGGGGTGAAATTCGTCAACTCCGCAGCCAGAAAGAAAGTTATGATGCATTGCTTCCACGAGCAACATCTCCGGTGAAGCGAACATCATCGCTCGTCAAGAGTGAATTCGACTCTGAGCCTCTCATCAAGAGTGATTTCGCCACTCAACTAGCTTCAATCAAGGCTGAGTCGAGCAAAGCGGCAAATCGAAAGTCAGAAGACCAGAAACTTGTTACCGCTGGCACAAATGTTTCCTTCGGTGCAGATGACGATGAAATGGATGTGGATCCTTCCGCCATCGTTAATAATTTTGCTCACCTGATTCCTCAAATCGCACCTATCGCGGGCGCAGATAATCGCGATGAAAATGGTGACTACCATGGCCGGGGCCGTGACATGTTCGTCGGTCCACAGGCCAAGGCTGATGAGTAAGTCTATCTGTCATGCAACACATATATGGGTTCGATGAATGCTAAACAATTTTCAGCATCGACAAATTTCTCGTCGCAGCGGGAAACGCAGAGCTGTTTGATGGTAATTCCACAATAGAGGATGCGCTGCAGAAGCTAGATCTAGAGAGCACGCACGACTTAATTCCTGGGCTTGACATCGCATTAATGCCCCATCAGGTCGGTGCTACGCAATCTCAGTTATAATGTGTACTCACGATTGGCGCCTAGCTGTTGGGTGTATCATGGATGGTCGCCAACGAGAGAAAGAAAGCCGTTTCAGGGGGTATGCTGGCGGACGAAATGTGAGTTTTTCATCGATGAAACCCCAACCTACTGATCTATATTCCACTGCCAGGGGTCTAGGAAAGACTGTCCAGATGTAAATGTGCAAGCGTTCAAGCAGCAATTATCTAATTCCATGCAGGATTGCCACGATGGCAAAAAATCCTTCCCAGGACCAAAAATGCAAAACTACCTTAATTCTTTGTCCATTAGCTCTTCTTGCCCAATGGCGACAGGAGATCGCGACCAAAGTGAATGCTAATTGGAATGTGCTCACTTATCATGGTGTGTGGCTCATTATTTTGCCCATTGTTTATTAATCAGTGCCAAACCTTATGAATAGGTTCTAACAAACCGCGGCGCAAAGCTGATTTGTTGGCTTACGATGTTGTCCTTACCACTTATGGAACAATGGCATTGGAGTGGCCAGACCTTGAGGCTGAAATAAAGAAGAAGGAAAAGGCAAAAAGCAAGAAGCCAACGGACATATTCATCGTGTCTGACTCTGACAATGATTCGGACGTCCCAAAGACAAGAAAGAAAAAGGACCGCGGACTCCTCTTCCAAGTGGACGTATGTGTTCCTTTTCCTGGTCCCCAGTGCTAAGTCGGATGATATAGTTTTATCGTATCGTCTTAGACGAAGCACAGAACATCAGGAACAAGCGCACACGTGCGGGATCCGTGATTCTATTGACTGCTATTGTCATTGACATACCCTCAGGTGTCTCTCGCGCTGTAACAGATCTCAGCTCTCGACTCCGGTGGTGTCTGACCGCTACACCGATTGTCAATGGACTACTTGACATGTATGGACCAATCCGTTTTCTACAGATCCGCCCGTGGTACGATTTCTCCGAGTTTAACGGCCATATCGCCAAGCACGAAAAGAAGAGCCGTGCGTAGTGATATTCGCCCTCTTGGGCGTCGCAATCCGTCGTAAGTTACTGAATCGTTTTGCAGCGCAATTGGCTGTCACCCGCTTGCAAACCGTTTTGAACCTTTTTTTACTTCGGCGCATGAAAACAAGCATGCTAGATGGTCAAAAACTGATCGAACTTCCGGAGAAGACAATTGACCTCGTCAGCCTTGATTTTTCCCCTGAAGAACGTGAACTTTATACCCAGGAATGTTTCCCGATATGTCTATTTCACTTTCCTGACGTTGATCGGCAGGTTGAGACCGCGCAGCAAGCAAAATTCAATAAATTTCTCCGTGAGGGAACTGTACTCAAAAATTATACTTCAGTTCTTGTTCTTCTCCTTCGCCTCCGCCAGCTTTGTTCGCATCCTGCTCTTATTCAAGAAAACGGCAGCCATCTTCTCGCGCCTAAACGTTCTAATTTCAATGACGTGCTGTCGCGCGCTCGTCAAGAAGTTTCCGCAGAGTTTGTCAAAAAAATGAAGGAAAGATATGCAGATTTGGCCCTGCGGCGTATCGCAGCCGAAAAAGAGGTCAGCTTCCCTTCGAAAGTCTGCTTTGTTCGGAAACGTTTTTAGTCAACGGACGCCGTTATTGAGGTCGACGACTGCCCGATTTGCTTCGACGTCCTCACAGAGACAGTTGTGACCGCTTGTGGCCACGAATTCTGCCATGATTGCATCGGTCTGTATTTTATCAGATTGTTGTTTCCTTGGTATCGACTCAGCCTCCAGTCAACTTCCTTCAAACGACCCCACCGGAGGAAAACAGTGGTCTAAAGGCAACCCAACGACCTTGTTGGTTCCATTCGCTTTTGAGTTTGATTGGGTTATCTGATGTTGTCCAGGTCCGGCCTGTCGTTCACCGATTTCTTCCGACAAACTCTTCCCTGTTGCTGCGTTTGAGCCCACTGATGAAGATATCAAGGACGAAGAGACTTCTGACATCGAAATGTCGCCAATCAAGCCTCGACGGCGACGTGCCCGCAAGGCGACATCTCGCAAGATTGTGTTGAACTCGTCTGAAGAAGAGGATACTTCCGATGATGATGACTTGTCCGACTTTATCGTGCAGAGCGACGGGGACACAGACTCGAAGGATGCCAAACAGATTCGCCCAACTCGAAACAAGCGTCGAACCATGGTTGTCATTGATTCAGATTCGGATGAAGAACTCGAAAAGGAGATCCTCTGCGGACATCGCCAGCAGAAGCGCACCAAAGCGGAAATGAAGTCCATGCCGACAGTTTTGGCTTCCACCAAGTTGCAAAACATGATGGAATATATCAAGAAACTTGCTCTAGAGAAGCCAGATGAAAAGGTTGGCTTGATCAAGCACCTAAGTGTCTCGTCTTAAAACATGCAGACGCTGGTCGTTTCCCAATGGACGAGTTGTTTGAAAATCGTATCAGATTATCTCGACCTGAATGATATTGGTCATGTCAAGTGCGTCTTGACTTTTTTTTTATAAAAAAGACTCTGCCCACATCTAATGCCGGTTAGATACCAGGGCGATATGACCACCACACAGCGCGAAAAGGCAGTGACCGTATTCATGTCGAAGGACAAGGCACGTGTCCTACTCATGTCCCTCAAGTGCGGTGGAGTTGGCCTCAATCTCACTCGAGCATCCCACGTAATCTCTTTGGACCTTGGGTGGTCTCCTGCTATCGACAATCAAGCTTTCGATCGTGTTCACCGCCTGGGCCAACAACGCCCCGTTACTGTTCGTCGTCTTGTCATTCAGAATACCGGTACGCTTTCATACAACCCTTGCTCCTCCTCCTTATACTACTTTCTATAGTGGAAGATCGCATACTTGCCTTGCAAGAACGAAAGCAAAACCTCGCCGATGGCTCACTTGGGGAAGGCAAAGGCAAGAAGCTGGGTCGTCTCACCGTTAAAGAGCTCGCCAACCTGTTTGGTCTGGATTCGCGGGGTCGCGTACTGGCGAAAGATTAGTCTCTGATAATTTTCCGTATGGTTCACTTATTCTATCTTACACAATTGTGTTGTCATTGTAAACTACTGTAGATGTCCAACTAGAAAATCACGCGTTTTCAACAAGTGCATCTCCGGACTCTGGTGGAGGTAATCGTCGTCTCGCTCCAAGTCCATGGCTCGGCACTCTTCCAACAACTCCTTGAGCTCATCTAGATTGGAAACCCGCCGACTGCCGGGCTGCGAGTAATAATCGTCGTCGTCATCCCATGATTCAAAGCTGTCCTCCTCCTCGACAACCTCCGCATCATCTTGCGGAAGTTCACCTAACAAGTTTCCGGTGCAGTCCTCCAATCGAACACCAGCAACAGCCGTCTTATCCCACCATTGCTCCCACCTCTCCATTCCGCCTCCTTGCTCTTTGGGTCCATTAGCAACGTTCAGTTCACGCAGCAGCTGTGGGTCAACAGCGCGGATCCGGGCAAGCGAAGGGAAATCTGGTCTCTTCACTAAAGCATCCAGAGTTCGATCATTGTACGACAGGGTGAGATCTATGTCAACTGGCAAATTTGTCGCTCCCTCCTGAGCCATTTTGTCTATAGCGGGGTCGAAGCCAAAAGCGCGGAAAAGTTGGTGCATGCCAACATTAACGAGACTTGTGTGCGCCAGAGGTAGCGGATTAGATGCACTATCATCCTCCACGCCCACAATCCGCCAATCGCCGTTGAAAACAAGGGTATTGAGCGACGGACATGCTGCAAGAATCTGGGGTAGAGACTGGCGGGCAGTCAAGTACACGTCTAGGAAATGCAGAGCACTCCCATGGTTGGCAAGAAAGCCTTGGACGTCAGGGAGGTCCAAGGATTCGGTCGTGTGGATGGAGAAGAAGCGAAGCGATGGCATTTGCCAGCCGGTTGCCTGCTCGACAAGTTGTTGAATGTGGCCACGCACGGAGAGCTGTCGTAAGTTGGGAAGTCGAAGCTGGATATCGTGGGCAGCACCAAGAGGAGTCTCGTCATAGAGCGTGTCAACCCCCCGCAAATCAACCTGGACTTGAACAGCAAACAAGTGGCGAAGAGAATCCAGAGCCCAGATAAGTCGTGGAAGGGCGGGAGAAAGAACAGTAACCCCAAATGTGCGCAAAGATTTGGTGGAAAACGTGGCTAGCGCGTCGACGATAGGTCCTAGAGTTGTGCTACCTACTGCACTATCGAGCAGAAACATCTCGAGATTGGGGCAGTGTTGAATAATGCCAGCGAGAACGTCCCGTAGTGGTTCTGTGTTTGTGTTTTGTTGCGAGAAAACACGGCGGGTAATATGAATCCGACGCGTCCACCAGCCCAGCGATTGTGTGGAAGTCGTGGCAATGTACGACTCTAGCGCAACATGACACTCGACAAGTTGCTCTGGCGAGTCAAAGAATAAACATCGGAATAAGAATTGCGATCCAATTTCGCGCCACTTCTTTGAGGTTTGGATGATTGCCTGGACGATTATTCAGGACTTGAGCTAATGCTGTTATTGTGGGATAGCATACCCTCTTCGTTCCATAGCTACGGCGCTGCACTTCCTCAATAGCCTCCTGAGGAGAACGTAGTTGCCACGTTCCGTTCACATCTCTGAACCAAGCTGATTCTGCCATGGAGGTTGGGAGAGCATGGTGGAAGATGACATCCTCGTCAGCGGCCAACTCGAAGATCTGAGACGACGAGTAGGGTACACACAAAGTGTTATCAAGACAACAACATACCTGGGACCAAAGCTCTCCGGGCAAATCAACCATGAAAGTCTGTAACGTCACGAAGACCGGAAGACCACGCGAAGAAACGACCCTTCCCACGCTGGAAGACGAGCCGGAGGCGTAATTGTCTGACGATGAAGATGATGCGGGCGGCATCGAGGATCATGGTTAGACGGATGGAAGGTAGACCTGAAGACGACCAAGAGCGGCGGGAGAGCCCTCTTACACGAAAACTTCACTGCCAACCCGCCCAATTATGGCCCCCTATGACCCCATGCTTTATGCTCGCCAAAACGACTCACGGGACGTCAGCGAACCAGACGCTGCTCAACCAATCACACGGAAACCCATACATCAACCCCCACAAAACAGTAAATGACACCCAACCCACCCCGGCCCTTGCTCTCCGAGCACCGCGCCTTAGTAGCACACGCATACTTGTACGCGGTATATAAATGTGATTCAAAAAAAAAAAAAAAAAGTCTGTAACGTGACGATGATTACATGTACAAGTCTATAGAATCACAAGTGGTCTACTCGACTTAGCCGTAGTTGAGAGTATCGGCTCTTGGCGGCGGTAGGGGTACACCCTGAGGGCGAGCAGGAAGAGCCAAATTCAATCTTTGGCGGTCGTCTCTCCTCGGCCGACTTGGCTCATGTTGACGAGCCTGTTGAGGACGACTCCAAGTCCCAGGTCGACTATTTCTATCCCCAGTATATGTGGGAGGAATATATGGAGGTTGTGGTGCTTGTGGTGGTTGTCGATGTGCACGCTTGTCAAACTCATGTGAAGCATCGTAACGGGGAAGACTATGGATGGAGTGTTATAAGAGAGACAAGGGCAGGTTGAAGGAAACAACTTTACGTTTTGGGGTCTGCAGGAAGCGGATCTGTCCAGAAGTAGTCATGGTCAAGTGCCGCAGAGGCAGTTATGCGTTGTCGAGGGTTGCAGATAAGCAATTGCTCTAACAGATCAACCGTTTCTGAGCCGATGCTATTTTTGTTAAAACAAGCTCAAGGGTCAAAAGAAAGGCTCACTGCTCAAAGGTGGTCTTGATCTTGCGGTGGTGTTGCCCATAGCCTTTGATACCTTCACAACCAGGCAGGACATCGAAATTAGGCCAAGTGTGTTGGTTAGGAGACCCGCAAAGCATGAAAATCTTCTCCAACTGGTCAACATCGGAGGTGCCAGGTAGAATTGGACGGCGCATGAACATTTCGCCCAGAACACATCCGATTCCCCACATGTCCACTTCACCACCGTAATGCCTTGCCCCAAGCAATAGTTCTGGTGGGCGGTACCAGCGTGTGACGACACAATTAGTGTATTTTCGTTCTTTATGACCACGGTTTGGGTTGTCTCCAGAATCAAACGCTCGCGCGAGCCCAAAATCAGCGATTAGCAGGGTGCCTTGGTTGTTGATCAACAAATTGGCGGCTTTCATGTCTCGATGCAAAATGTGGTTCTGGAGGAAAATGAGAAAGGTGGTCGATAGATTCAATGGCACTCACTCGATGCATGTACTCAGTGCCCTCTAATAGCTGCTTCATATATAACTTTATTTGGCTCGGTTGAAGTTTGACCCGTTCGTTTTCCAGTAGTCCCGCGAGATCGTGGTCCATATACGGGAAAACCATATAGACAGAGAGAGGGTCCTTGGATGTGCTGCGAACAACAAACATGTCGAGGATGTTGACAATGCACGAATGATTGAGCGCCTTCAGAATCTTGATTTCCCGCAAAGCAGTTACGGGCATTCCCTCTTTCTCGTTGTGCATCAGAATTCGCTTCAACGCAACCAGACTATTGGAAGCCGGGTGGTGGGCCTTGTGTACCTCACTAAAAGGCATTGAACAATGTTTCGGATGCATAAGGTAGGAAAAAAACACACCCAAAAGTTCCTTCCCCAAGTTTAGTTGTGATCTCATAGTCATATTGGTTACCACAGCCTTTAAATGTGCGTCCATAGGCTATTTCCTCTGCCTGCTGGGACCGACGTGGGGGCGGAGTCCTGCGAGTTGTGCGAGCAACCTCTTTTCGGATTTCAGGTGGTTGCTTGCGAGGAGGGGAGATAGGCGGTGGTGGTTTGGGTGGTAAAGGATTGTTAAGTCGAATGTCTGGGGGCGGTGGCGGTGGAGGAGAGTGAGCTGGTTGCGGTGGTGGATGTCTGGGGGAGGAATGTGAATGGGGAGAGATTGGTCTGTACTGATGTGAATGGGGGGAGATTGGTCGGTACTGGTCTGAGGGGCGGTAGTGATTGTCTCGTGCTCGATACGAGCGGTCGTCGTATCTTGACCGACCCCGGTTGTGATTGTGATAGGGTGACCTTGAGCGCCGCCTAGGAGATGGTGAACGTCTCCCACGGTACCGACTCGATTCCCAGTGGTCTCCGCCTCGCATCGTTGGTTTCCGTTGTTCAATCTCTCTCGTGGCTCTGCGATCGTCTTCTCTCCTCGTTTCAAACTGCTCAAAGACATTGTTTTGCATTGGAGCCGGCTGCGCATTCTTCTTCTTGAAAGGAAACGGGATTTTAGTTCTGCTATCCGTTGAAGGTTTCGGGGGAAGTCCTGCGTGGGCAGGCTTGGGAGGTAAGGTAGGAGGGAGTTTCGGCCTATCATCATTGACCTCGCCTTCTTCGGGAGGCGATGAGGTCTGTTGTCTCTTTGGCCGTCGCTCGCCTGCAGGGGAATGAGATGCTGGTCGTTTCGAAGGCATGGACGCAATGCGATCACGTGGATGTCACTTTCAAACGCACCCACCTCCGATGACTTCTCGAAAGGCCAACTAGGCTATCATGTTATCTATATTCTACTTTGTACAGTCTCTCAGGTATACGGGATTTTCTTAATCGACGGCCAGGTTGAGTTTTCTCATTACGTGGGCTTGTTCCAGTTTGGGTTCTGTGTGCAGACAGCGCCATCAGCAGGCTTTTCATGTAATACTCCGAACGCACAAGGACGCTTTGAACATGCATTTGCCAATGGCGACTATAGACACCTAGGAACATAAGCAGGCATTAGACACTTGCGTCGCAGAAACGAGCCTGGATAGCCAAAGTCAGAGTTCGAAGGAGAAACACTAGAACTGCGAAAGAAGCGGAGAACAAAGGAAACAGTCGTAGGTCGCAGAGATACGCCAACATAGAGCGATCGACTAGTGAAATAACCTTAGTCTGAAGCAACGAGAGGGAGGTTCCTCTCACAGTGAGCCAGAACGTCAACCAGTCTGAAGAGATAAGAGAAGCTATTCTGAGGCACAACAAGGTTTTCGATTATTTGCGTCGCAGATGCATTGAGGGTTTCGAGAGAGTTGAAAGCAGATGTTGTTAGTTGAGTCAAAGTTGCGGCAAGCGTGAGGACCGACTGCTCCAATTCATCTTGGGTGTCGCGTATAGCTTGTGCTTCTTTGGAACCGAGCTCAAGTAAGAAAACCGACAGAGAAACGTTGCCAGACAGCTGGAGTACATTCTATAGAAAGCGTTGGTGTCAGAGAAACGAGACGGGGGAAATGCGAGCCTGTTCCATCGAGGCCATCTGCAAAGCCAATCGTGACCACTGTTCTCGGCTTCCTACCTGCAACATTCAACTTCAACGAAGATAAAGCAACATGCAGAGCAATAAACCATGAGTTCCGTGATCTGCTGAGCTTCTTCGTGAAACATAGCAAGCAAAGAGTCGAGAGCATGAGTGATATGAGCTTGCAACACAGGAGTAAGTAATTCCAGCGAGAGCACATGCTGCTACTGTCAGCTCGCAGTTTCGGTAGAATTTGTGACCAACTTGGTTACTAAGAAGCTTCAGTTCTGTTTCCCACAACTCTGCCGTTCGAGTTAGCTGGATTTCATTCCTTATTTGCGCAGCTGCCAAGTTTTCTCCGTGTGATTCAAGAACCTCGAAGAAGTTGAGAGCTGCAGACGACATAAAAAAAAACCGCTTGCGTTAGACAATTCAGAGTTGAGCTGTGATCTTATGCTTTCCATAAGGTTTCCAACAAAAGCGTCTAATTTCTGTCAGAGCAGTAAATGCGATGCTGTTTATTGGGCGATATGCGACGAACGATGAGCTGGGCATCCCACCGTTTCCTGACATCCTCGTCTTGTTCTTCTCGTTGGAGCATCCAGCTGTATAGTCTGCTGGCTTGAAGCGTCGAATTTTTGTATATTTCTTTAGCGGTGTCTATAACCGCATCTCAATCCATGAGTATGCCAGTCTAGACAGTATTCAGCACCTATGTCGTTCCATCGACGGAAAGCGAAGCAGAGTTGGGCTAAAACAGTGTGATTAAAACTGAATTTCAACTGGCGAGGGAGCGACTGACGAACTTCACGCAGATAACCCGAATAACTAGACCAAAATTGGGCACTCCGAGAGAGAGCACTGGGGACCGCGATTAAATTTAACACACAGAGATCCAACCGACTTACTCGACGCAATCTCCGTGGTGGGTATCATCAGAGGCAGGAATCCCTGATTCAGACGAGAACGGTGCACATTCCAACGGCAGAGAATGGTGCGTTGCAGTCGCAAGTTCGCAAAGGGTCAAAGAAATTGCCACTGGGTCTTGTAAATACCTGTTAATGAACCCGCGAAATAGTCCTCACCTGTGATACGTTCCGCTTCTTGAGTTTCCAAGACTTCACAAGTTGAACGAATTTGACTAGCGACGCGACGAAAGCAGTCTGGACGTTTGGAGTAGCTATTGAGACGCTCTAACCTAGTCAGCAGGTCATTTCGAGGAGAAGGAGACCTACCATGATTGGCTGATAAGGCCGTTATTTCCATTTCAGAGGGCCCTGATGAAGGAAACGCATGTAGTTCAGACCATGAAAAGGCTACACAGGAAAGTGACAGCCAGGAAAGAATGAGAAAACTATTCATGACTGTTCATGAGCAGGAACGAATGGTCACGAGTCACGTGTGAGTTATGATTATGTCCGATTATGTCTTGTGGGGTAGACTACAAGTATAGTATGGTAAAGTACAACAAATAATATGATATGGTACAATGAGTGAGTGGGATTAGTGTGCTATCTATTCAGTCCAATGGTTAAGGTAGGATGCTTGATGCAAGTTCGTCCATGAATGCAAATTGTCTATATCATTGTCGTGTCTTCGTTAGCGACGGTCTCTCCGAGGGTTCGGTGCGTTGTGCTCCCACATCGAGGGTCCTTCGCCAGGAAGCCAGTCCCCAGACGTAGGGTCGCGCTCAAAATCCCCATCTCTGTAGTTGTATCTTTGCTGGAGTAGGCTCAGCAAAGGGTTGCGTAATGCGGGGTCCATCCGCACTGTTTCACCAGGTAAATAGCTGCCCACGTGATGTCTGGCAAGGCTTTCCTCGAAAAGCGCCTCTTCGTATGTGCACCCGCAGTTGAGATAACCCGCTGGCGCCATTCGAGGAGGATGAACCCGTCGCTCCCGACGAGAATCATGCCAAGCACATAACGCGTTTCCTGCCCTGTTAAGGGAGCAAAATTGACGTATGCGAGCCTCTGTCCGAGCCTTCCAGGACGCATGGAACGTGGGATTGGTTGGTATCGAAGGTGAAGCAAGTCGTTGACCACTGGCAAGTCGAGATTCGAGCACCTTGATTTGCTCCATTGCGCGACGATTTGCCTGTTCGAGCTCACGCAATCGCTTCCGAAGCAGGCGAACATCAGATTCGTGTTGTGGATAGGAAGTTGTTGATGCGTAGTTGGGCGGGAAGCCGTCATTGAACTCGGGCGCAGAGAATGGTGAAGGGGGTGAGAGTGATTCAGGAGAGTCGCGTGCATAATAGGTAGCGGAGCTGGATGGATCCAGGAAGGGTGTCGGGTACTGAGAGGGCTGTGGCAGCATTGGCGTTTGGGACCAAGCCAATGATGGATCACCGACAGCACCAGTTAGGCTGCTAGTACCACTAGAGCCGGATGAAGGCGAAAGTCGATGGTGTTGCTCATCGGAAGTATCCGGATAAATCTGAAGCAAAAGTCGGATGAGAGGGGCGGAAGGAGGGTTATAGAGATGACAAACTGAGTAGGGAGAGTGGTCATAGACGAGCTGCTGATTCCCATCGGAAGCTCGCCGCGTGTTGCTGCGGGGAGAAGCCCAGTACGCAGGTGTTGTGGCCATATTATTAGAGTTTTGTAGTCGTGAACGAGGGTAAGGGTGGGCGCGGGTAGGGCTAGTCGGATGGGAACGGCGACGCGTCGAAGAAAGGGAGCTGCTCGGAAGAGGCAGGAGGGGAGGAGATAACAGAGGAAAGTCCGGGTGAGATTCCACTTTAATATCAGGCTGGGGCCACTGATGCTGAGCATCGTTGAGCATTCTTCAGGCGGTGCTGATCACAGGGGAAGATGAAGACTAGGAATCAAAAACACCGGCTTTAAAACACTGTTAGCTACCAGGACAACCAAGCGTCGTTGCCATGGAACTATCATGGGTGGTTAACTTCAGGCTGTACTTACCCAGCAACGGGACCTCCGTGTCGATCATTAACGGGATCACCGAGTGACATCTCTTGACGGAGGCAATCGTGGGTTTGAAAACCAGGGACACTGCTTTCGAGCAGTCTGCAGGAATGGAATGGAATGACCGGCTCTAGTTGTAGATTTTCAGGTACGTAGTCAGGGAGGGAGAGAGAGCCTGGCCGCGCATTTGTTTGCGTACCAATTGGTTAATGAACAGCAGCGTTCATTGACGGTTGACGCAGAATAACGATGTTCTTCTCCACCATCTTTGTTCTCAGTAGTAGCCTGTTCAGAGAGAGGCATCGTTCTGGGAAACAGCTGATGTAACTGTTCAAAAACATGAACTTGCAATCCGCACCTTGTCCAATCGATATCTATCACATGGCTTGCCTTCCGAGTTTTTTTTTGCCGGAAAATAGACTTTTTCTCCGGATCGTCGGGTTGAACCACGCATGAATTAGTTCAACGGCCTACTAGGGCCTACTCTGCAGAAACAACGCGAGTATCGACTACTTTAGATTGGCTCTAGAGACGTAATGATTGGTGACGGTCACATCGATCCATCTCTTCCTCGTTTTTTTTCCTCTTCTAAAATGGTCTTCAAGGTTGCAGGTAAACCGCTACCTATTGGTTGAATCCTGCCTTCATTTCCCCTGCCAGATGTTTCACTCGCTGCGTTCGGTCGCAAAGAGATCGAAATTGCTGAGGTTTGTTTGGTGCAGACCAAGATTCATGAGTTGACGAGAGATCAGAATGAAATGCCCGGTCTCATCTACTTGAGAAAGAAGGTGCGACCTTATAGTTGTTTTACGCTCATAGGCTCAATATTTCTAGTATGAGGCCTCGCAACCCTTGAAGGGTGCCCGCATCGCTGGATGCCTCCATATGTTTGTCTTTCTGAATCCGATTCCTCCTACTAATAGTCTTCAGGACCATCCAAACTGCGGTCTTGATTGAAACTCTCACTCATCTCGGTGCTGAAGTGACCTGGTCGTCCTGCGTATGTTACCGTGATCTGAAATTCTGCACTACATCCCAACAATTTCCCTCAGAACATCTTTTCGACACAAGATCACGCCGCTGCCGCGTTTGCCGTCTTCTTTTTCCTGTAGCTACGGCCTGACAATCTTATAGCATTGCGGCAACTGGCGTGCCAGTTTTTGCGTGGAAAGGCGAGACTGAAGAGGAATATAACTGGTGCATCGAGCAAACCATTACGGGTTTCAAGAACAATCAGCCGTTGAACATGATTCTCGACGACGGTGGAGATCTTACTCAGATCGTGCATGAAAAATATCCGCAATATCTGACTGGTTGGTTGTCGCTGTCAAGTCACAGCAGCAGCAGCAGCAATAATCGTTCTCAGGTATCAACGGAGTTTCTGAGGAGACTACAACCGGTGTTCATCATCTCTACAAAGCTTTCCGCGATGGCAAGCTCAAAATTCCCCGCAATCAACGTCAACGATTCAGTGACCAAGTCCAAGTTCGACAACTACTATGGCTGTCGCGAGTCTCTGGTCGATGGTATCAAGCGCGCCACCGATGTCATGCTTGCTGGCAAAGTTGCCGTTGTTGCTGGATTTGGAGACGTTGGAAAAGGCGTATGTCTTGTGCTCCATATTCTAGGCCCCACTAATCTATCTAGTGCGCCGAATCCCTCCGATCGTATGGTGCTCGCGTTCTTGTCACTGAAATCGATCCCATCAACGCCCTCCAAGCTGCTATGGCTGGTTACGAGGTCACCACGATGGAGGACGCCGCAGCCCGTTCAAATGTTTTCGTTACTACTACGGGCAATCGGGATATCATAACTGCGAAGCATTTTGTTGAGATGCCCGAAGATGCCATCGTTTGCAAGTGAGACGGTGTTTTACCAACACTTTCTTTTCACTCATTGCTTCAAACAGCATCGGTCACTTTGATGTGGAAATTGACGTTGCTTGGCTCAAAGCAAACGCTGCTTCGGTATCTAATGTCAAACCTCAAGTTGATCGATTCACGATGCCCTCTGGCCGCCACATCATTCTTCTCGCTGAAGGTCGTCTGGTCAACCTCGGGTATGCACATCTTATGTGACTGCTTCGAAAATCTCTTATCTGGTCTGCTAGATGTGCCACCGGTCATCCGTCATTTGTCATGTCTTGCTCGTTCGCTAACCAAGTCCTTGCTCAAATCGCGCTGTGGACTACCCCAGAAAAATTCCCACTTGGCGTTCACATGTTGCCCAAAGAGCTTGACGAGGAAGTTGCCCGTGCACACCTTGCTCAGTTGAATGTCAAGCTAACGGTACTTTCGGAAACGCAATCCAAGTATCTCGACATTCCTGTCAATGGACCTTACAAGGCTAGCCACTACAGGCAGGTTTTCTCGTAGTCAATCGTGACAAGTTCATTGAATGTCGCTCTAGGTACTAGACAGTTACTTGTCAGATGGCCTCAACGAGCCCTTGCGCTAAAACGAGATCTTCAACGTCTCGTGATTGCGGCGTTTCGCGGAGACAGACGAGTCCGACAGCGAAGGAGTGGGGATGTGCGTAGCTACCAAGATATCAGTGTCAGCAAGGCCTCAACGCGCCTGTAATTCAGTGTAAAGCTCGTGTCATTTATCAACGTTTGAGCGTCTGTTGAGAGACATCGAGTTGTGGGTAGCGTTGTTACCATCTATTTTCCCTCTCCTCAGCCACCATTCATGGCTACCTTCTCTCCTCTTGGTCCCATCGACCCCGCTTCCCTGTCTGCTACCCATGAGGAGGAAGAAAAGTCGGCACCATGGATTATTCGTAAACTAGTGGGAGTAAGTCTTGTAAACGCCTTGAAAATTCAATCCTCGAGTACACTCCATAGAGTATGACGGGCAGAATCGTTATGTCAAGTTATGAGTCTCTCAGAGCTGCAGGTATGGAAAACTCATTGGCAATCTGGACGTCAACGAGCTTCGCAGGGACATCCATCGTATGTCTGAGCCCTTGGGGTGATTCTTCACCCTTTCTCCTACCATGCATACGGTTCGATTCTGTTACAGTGTTCTTTTCTAACTTTATTGAATCATTTTATTCACAGGTTCCGTGATTTAGCAGTTCACACCATAGTGGCGGCGACCGTAAGCTGCGATCGCCAGTTTGCTAATAGTGTACTTATGCCTACTTACCCCAGGGTGGGATGGCCGTCGTCGCTGCTCCTGTGATGGGAAGTGTTGGTGCCGAGGTTATCGGAGCTTTTGGCGATACGATTCTGGTGGAGCTGGGCCTCCATGCAGGCTTCCAACTTACTACAGCGGCTGCCAACGACCTAGTCATCGAAAAACCTCTCAAAAGTTTGATACCTATCCATGAAAAGCGCTTGAGCACGACTGCAGTCAAGGTGTTGCTTATAACACTCAAGTACAAGATGACCATGACGGATGCAGCTCTCGGTTTCTTCAGAAGTTCCATCCACACGTAAGCTTGGATAGTCATTATATTGCGTCCTGTTGACCTCTGGTCAACGCAGGGACAATTCGCTTTTCTCCACGGTTAAGGACTATCTTGCAGTGGAGAAGGGCTGGTTCTCTCCCTACTTGTTTGCCAGTGCTCGACGGCCAGTCATCCCGCGAACTATGACTCCCGATGTTGTATTCTGCCACGGACCGTTCCTCGAAGGTAAGTTTGTTTTGTTGTGGCGTCATGCGCGGGCTTAGAATTAGGTGACTACCGAATCGGACAAACTTTGCTATCTGAGAGTGCGATGGTCATCACCTTTTGCAGCCTTGTGCCAACCTCCTTGGCGGCTGCAGATAAAAAACCCACCCACCATTCTCTTTCTATTCCCAAACTCTCCAATCTTCTGCGCTCGCGTCCTCCCTCTCCGACAGAGCCAGAAGTGAAACATACACCACTTCCTCCTCCACCGCAACCTAGACGGATGGTTATTGTTCTCGTAGGCCTCAAACCACACCGTAGTCTATGGACGACTTCGGCTCGCCCTGGCGAGAGTGTTATAAATTATATTCTGCTCAACGGTTGTCCAGCGATCGTTGTCCCTGTTAAAGTTGGAGCCCCGCTGGTTGCATGGGATACCCTCACGCTCGAGGATTTGTGGAAGGTGAGTAGGTTAATCAATGAACCTGAAGAGAACATACATGATACTTGCCAGATCACCCTTCCTACCGAAGACATTGACACTGAAGAGACGGGCGGGACATTGGGCGGAATTGTCAAGGTTCTGTTCGAGTATGTTGACATGTGCGTCGACTGGGAGCGATTTGTTGTCACTGGATCTAGTGGCGACGAAGCATCGCCTGGACCAACTGAGCCTCGGAAGGCGCTCAAAGTAGCATTGTCTCTGCTTGTCGCGGCCGCGATACGTAGCAAGGACAGCAAGGAAGCCAAGAAAGAAGTAGATAAAGAGCGTAGTGGAATTGCGATGTGGAGGATCTTGTGAATGACAAATCATGACTATATATTCGAGTCATGTTCGGGACCCTGTCTCGTCAACGCCAACTTTATAAACAGATTGCGAGGCAGTTACTCACGACTATGCCTCGCACTGCAGAAGACTACACTTTCTTCTGGTCCACCAACCATGTCAAGTAACGAGCAAACTAAGACCAGCCTATAGATGACTGACCATCGTTCCAATAGCGGGTGGGCGTCTCAATGGTATAAGGCGCCGTTTCTTGCGACGGTTAAGATGGGCGATGTCCAGCAAGAAATCCGCTTCCTTTCGAATGAACACTGGATGATGTTTGTAGGCCACGTCTCTCCGGGTATCATGCCAATTCTGATCATTTTGGTAGCAAAAGGCCCTGTTATTCAATGATTTGGAGATCGCAAAGGAGGTCCTTTCAGTCGAGGGTACCACAAAACCCGATATGGCGTATGTCAAGTCACTTGGTCGCCGAGTCAGTGGCTTCAAAGAGGACGTGTGGGTCAAACACAGGGAGCAGATTGTAACGGAGGGGACTTGCCACAAGTTCCGACAAAACGAAGAGTTGAAGATGAAGCTTTTCGCAACTGGCAACACCATCCTTGTCGAGGCAAGCCCGAGCGACTCGATTTGGGGGATTGGACAAAGCGAAGCAAATGCCCTTTCAAGCAATAAGAAGTGGGGTTTAAACCTGCTTGGCAAGGCACTTGTTGTGGCGAGGGAGACATTGAGGGAGGAGGATCTGGTTAAATCGAAGCGTGATGAGAGCCGAAAGTGAAAAAGATAAGCAGTGCGGACGGACAGTTTCAAGCAAATTAAGGAGAAACGCTGTTTGTGTATCGAGCCCAATCACATTATTAAAGTGGCCAATGTTCGAAGGGTCGAAGGGACGATGTGATGCCAAGAGTCAGGTCACGCGACCGCGTTTTGGAATTCTACCACCATGTTCTCTGGTTGGACACGAACACTGGTGAGTATATCGAGGCATTCCTTGCCCCCTACATTGACTAGCACAGCATGAAATATCGATATTGTAATCGCAGCCTTGCTCACTTGGTAACGCTTAACACCTATGCAGCCACAACCCAACGTCCCCGTCATCTCTGAAGGCAACTTCATAATCTAACGTATAACGGCGGGTTTGATAGAACTGTAGGCCCTCGATACGCTGCGCTCCGCACTTTCTTCGCCGTATCCTCCCAAATTGGGTTCAGCCCCATTGAATTTCGATCTTGAGGTCATCGAAGCAGCCCCAACTGCTGACCAGCTCAAAACCATACTATCCTTCCTCCCTTCGAAAAGTAACTCCACTCCTTCCGCTGCTTCCGTATTCCTTTCCGCTGGCTCTTCGGATTCAGCCAGTCTTGACTCCATCGCGAAGCTGGGCCGTGATGAGCCCAGTGCATTCAAGTGGCCGGTTGTGGTTGACTGGAATGCTGGAAGGGCTGTAGTGGGTGATGGGGCTGGCGTCATAGAAATTCTTGACCAACTGCGAAAGAAAGATAACGAGAAATGAAGAGAATGCTTATATATTGCACAACACCCATTTGTTGATCGTATGGAAACAGCGTCTAAACTTCTAGCCCAAAAGCTGCTCAGCCGTGTGACTGTCTACTATCTTACCGATTACAAGATTTTGATTCCTCTCGAATGCTCATGCTGGTGGGGGGGAGCTTTCTTTCTCCCCATCGTGTTCAGAACCCCCGGAACTATTGGCAGAAGTTGCGCTCAACTCCGCATATCGTGCGACCTTCAGTCGTTGTGATGGGGGGATGGCCTTCTCTTGCAGACCCGTAGGGAGACCACCGTGCAGTACTCCAACTCGCTTCATGGCTAACAGCTGGTCGACGTATTAGCTGTGCTCGTCTGGGTAGAAAGACCATATACTCACATTATGGGCAGCGTTGGAATGATCGTAGACACCACCGAAAAAGGCTGTCGTCGCATCTTTGCCAACATACTTAACAAGGTAGTGAGGACCACCGGGATGCTCCTCGATAAAGTTGGTGATGTCATGGATGAAGCCAGCGACGAGGATAAGAGGACGCTTAGCGGATTGCTCGACGAAAGACTCATAAGAAATGACGGGAAGATCGTTATTGTCCGATGGCCATGCAAGTTGGTCCTGAGTTTCGCGCAGACGTTTGAGTTGCATGGTGAGTTGCCCTTTGCGGACCTCGTTATCGGGGAAAACTTTGAGGTGTGATGCAAGACCAAGTTGATAGCAAACCCAGATGAACCACTATCATTGGTCAGCAAACACCAAGTCAACGTCGCAGCCGACAAACCTTGGTGGGATCGTATTGGTACCATTTGATGGCATTGCGGTAGTCCATCGGGAATTGATGGTGGAAGTTGTGGTAGCCTTCACCGATTGTAGCACTAGATGGACAATGAGCACATGAGCCAGCTTGGGGATGTCAGCAGGAAACATACAGTGCCGTGATCACGTGGTCGCGTGGGGTGTGCTTATCATCGAAGGGAGCTTCCCCAAGCCAATGCGCGAGCGAATTGACGCAAAATGTGGAGTGGTGGACGAACATCAAACGCGCAAAACCAGCGTAGAAGAAACCACCGCGGAGATCGCCCCAAAAGAGCCATGGAATGACGGTGGGGACTCCGATTCCCATTGAGAGAATAAGAGTGAGGTAGTGTCTATGCTGCCAACGAATGATTTCGTTCTTTGAAAGGTCGCTAACGTCGGCAACTCCGGGTTTGCGACGGGGCTTGAGGAGCATCCAGCCCACGTGAGACCACCAAAGGCCTTCACCAGCGTTGTATGGATCGAGCTCGGTGTCCGTGTAGCGATGGTGAGCACGGTGACCGCGGGACCACCATTTGATAGAACCCTCAACAGCGCCAGCACCCGCCATCGCCAAGAAATATTGTAAAGGCTTGCTCGCATTGTAGCTTCGGTGGGCCCATAGACGATGGTATCCAGCTGTGATACCTACGGTAAAGTGAGTCACAAGTCGAGACGGCGCGACGCAACAAAGCGCAGCAGTGAAAAAAACTCACCCAGACCAGTCACGTAGTAGTAAAAAACAGCAAAAAGAGCCGTCTCCCATCGTAATTTGGTCGTCAAGAAGCCAAGTATACTCATAGCGGGGACAATGGTGAGGATGGCAGTCGAAAGCCAGTTGAGTTCGTTGACCAAATTACTCCACCGCATGGGAGGTAGCGGCTTCGTAGCCTTGAGGGTATGGGCAACATAATTGTCAAACTCGACAATCTCTGGCGCGTCCGTCGGCGGCGTCGACTTGGAAGGGTAGACGGAGGACATGGGAGTGTGAAAAGAGAAGTGTGCAGCAGGCAGACATTTTATGGGGTAGTCGAGAAATCATTCGTTGGGGCATTACATCAGCAAGTCGAAATTGTTACCACCACAAGCTTAACTGGACGTAGGAATCTGCGATGGTTTTCAAGTATCTATCTGACAGTCAACACCCATTCTTTCCGCAGACCTTACTTTCAGCGCTTTCAACCCTTGCGCTTGCAGCTGTCATTCCTATGTTAAGTATTCAGCATCCGAGTCCCCTTGTAAAGGTCTAAAATACTCCTACGAGTTCAACGCATTATGGGTCGGTCCATGAGTATCTGCCGCGCAGACTCGCTGATACCCATTGGTAAGGATTTCGGTCTGTGATGATTACTGCGAGGTTTGTATTAGGGGCGAAGAAGGACAGGCATCCAAATCAGACCTAGATCGCGAAGATATGTACTGTGATTGAGGTAGCTATCAAGCTCTAAATCTAGGAGAGTTAGGAGGCAGTAAGAGGCGTTGTCTTTGTTTGCAGTAGTTTGTGGGGAACATCAGCTGCAGATGATCCGTTAGGTTAAATCACGATGCCGATGTCATAGAGCACTTGCCGTCATTTGCCGAGTCCAATATTATGGGCGTTGCAAGAACAACGAAGGCTGGAGCCACATGCCTCAAGTTCCCAGCTTCCTTCTCCGTCACCTGCTCACCCACGTCTTGTGGTACGGAGGTGGGCCGGGCCGGCCAGCAGGATATAGGCCTTGCAAACCTAAAGAGGTCAGTGAACGCCGCGGCCAAGTCACGTATCGAGTCAATTCTCTTCTCTTACTCTTCTCAGAGACTCCAACCTCCGCCTGCAGTCCGTCACTTGGCCCACTTCTTGCCCTTATGAGCGGCTTATAAGCCCCACACCCTATCGTCAGCTCTGGCTGCGAGATGATATTCCTCCCATTTCTCCTCGACATCCTCTGCTCTTTGAGTTTTAGCAATACCGCAGTAACAGCTGCACTTGCTATTTATCCGTCCCAGCCTATCGGTCTAGAAACACTCCTCAACAATAACGCAGTCGTAGACTTTAGTGGAAATGGCGGTGCATTCAATGGCTCGCTTCTTCCAACCGGCTCGTTCTCTTACGATGGCTTAACCGTAAGCACGCACGCACATTATGGGCTCATCCAACGACAGTAAACTAAACGAAACAGTTCTCTCTTCCTTCCTCTTGGGATGACGCCGCGGACAACAATGTGTTGGCAAACGGGCAAGTTCTCAAACTTGACAAGCCCACGTTCGCACACGAGCTACACTTTCTCTACGCTGGAGATGGCGACAATGCATGTAAGCTTTTCTCGTGGCTCCATATGATAATGCCTTTCGCTCATGAAAATCACACAGCGCCAACACTCTCTGTTTTTACCCTGCAGTTTTCCGATGGATCTTCCTACACAATCAACGGCAAGTTTGGTTACTACTCAACTCTAGTCCCAAACTAGACAATAAAATGGAACAGTGGAAGCGAAGAGCTGGTGGGTTTGGGCCAACGTTAACCGGGCAGCGATCATCACGTAGATGCTTTTTTTTTCGGTAGGCTTACCCACTAACTTTGTCAGGCCATATCACTTCCAAGGCGGCACGAAGAATTTCAATGCAACGAATATCTACGAATATTCTACTGCAGTACCTTCGGAGTCACCTTTGACAGCTATCGTCTTTCCTTCGCAAACAACTGGCAGCCGGATGCATGTATTTGCTCTTTCCATCACACCGTCCTCAACAGATGTGAATTCTGCCGCTCTGGCACTGTCCATACGAAGAGCACATTTCTCTCAGCGGTGGCAACTTGTGAATGGCGATCGAGTTCAAGCCGTGCAAGTCACCATCGCCAATCTTCTTCCAGGTTACACATTGGCTCAGTCACCAAGTCGAGCCATCAATTCCCCGCATAGCATCGAAATCGTTGGAGATGGCCTCAAAACACTTAACACAGGCAACTTCAGTCGTCTTGTTCCCGGCGATCAGGCGCGCGTCGATGTCTTCGTCACCGGCGCACGTGCTGGTGGATCTGCTATGGTCAACATACGAGATTCTACGGGAAAGATCATCGCAACGTCGACCGCGCTCCCAACCGCGCTATTGATAGAAGAATACACTCCCGACACCACATCCCTCAGTTTACATGAGACGCCGTCTTGGGTAAGCAGTGGTTTTCTTTGGAACTTCGAATTCCTGATTCTTCCCCAGTGGAACTCGGCCAAATATGGCATCTTGTATGTTGGTCATCATTTTCATGATAATAATTGACAATTTTGCAGTATTCACTGGGGGGTTTATAGCAAGCCTGCATTCGTGAACCGCGCCATCTTTAGTTGGATGTCAACTGAATTTCTCCAGGCTCCTCCAAACCAGTATGCCGAGTGGTATGAGTGCGTTAGTTCATCCGGCTTAGTGTCCACAAGCCTGAATGTAGATTTCAGTTGGGACATTCGGCAACCGCCAGATGCGAGCAACCCGACATGGGTTCACCATCTTGACACATACGGGAAGGTACGCCATAAGTTATGGCTTATCGACTCAGCTCATACTAACGCCAGGATGTGGCCTATGACGACTTTATTCCTCAGTTCACCGCTTCAAAGTTCAATGCTAGTGCATGGGTTGATATAATCGACCGAGCTGGTGCAAAATACTTCGTTCTTGTTTCAGTGAGTTCGCTCTGCTTGCAACAATGTCTGTTCCCTACTTAAATTCCAATACCCAGAAACATCATGATGGATTTGCTCTCTTTGACACAGGTGAACAATGACCATAATTTGTTAGACCAGAGCAAACGATATTGCCAGGCAACACGACCAATCGAAACAGCGTACAACTTGGACCCAAACGCGATTTGGTTGCGGAGCTGTTCCAGACTGCAAAGGATGAGAAGCCTGACCTTCACCGCGGAACCTATTATTCATTACCCGAGTGGTGAGTGAGTCAATCATATACTTAGATCGACTCACGTACGCATTTCAGGTTTTCACCTGATTTTGCCAAGTATGGGTTTGGCTCCTGGCCAGGTGGACTGGCGCACAATGCCTTCAACACGACTCCCGCGCTCGAACCATATACTGGACGACTAGATATCGACGACTATCTTACTGACCTGCAACTTCCACAAATGGTTGATCTAGCAACAAAATATGACACGGAGATTATGGTATCTTGCCCTCTCGGACCCTTCAAGGTGGAGACTGAACGATAGCTGTAGTGGTGTGACATCGGAGGACCTAATCGGAATCTCGAGTTTGCTGCGACCTTCTACAACCATGCCATGTCGCAAGGACGACAAGTGACTCTGAACGATCGATGTGGGATATTACCCGACTTCGACACTCCCGAGTACGCGACTTTTGGCAGCATTCAACCAACAAAATGGGAGTCTTCGGAGGGCATGGATCCGTTCAGCTATGGTCTCAACCTCGCGACAAATGCTAGTCAATATAAGAATGGGACGACCATTGTGCAGTCGCTCGTAGATATCACTGCGAAGAACGGTAATTTGTGAGTTTTATGGGTCACATCGTCCTCTCTTGCTTGACCAGAGTCGCAGCCTGTTGGACATAGGACCGACTGCGGATGGGGAGATAATACAGCCGATGGTCGACAATTTGCTGGATGCCGGGTCGTGGCTTGAATTTGCTGGCGATTGTGTTTATGACACAGTGGGTTTCGTTGCTACTTCGCTGATAAACAACTCATTCAAATCGCAGGATTACTGGTTCCCAGCTTCTGAAGACCCCAAGCCGGTAAATGGTACTCCGGCAGCCCGGTTCACGACGACGCCCAACACGTTCTGTATCATCGCATTTGCGCCCCCGAGTGATGGGTCGCTCGTTGTTGGAAAACGATTGCCGCTTATGTTAGGAGACGAAATCGTGGCTCTACGTCCCAGTGGACCAAGTTCACCTCTCGCTTGGAACATCAGTGCAAGCGGTGACCTGACGATCCAAGTCAGTAGTGCGGACGTGGAGGGTGTGCGTTTTGCGTGGCCATTCCGGGTGTCATAACAATATGCAGTAGTATAAGCCAGTGTACTATCAACACAGAATCAAATCTTTCGCCACACCAACAACCGCTCACGACCGATATGCATCGGACTGGATGTTTCGGGCACCCGATCAACAACTTTTTGCCAGCGGTCGTTGCCCAGACAGTCATGATAGTGTTGCGGACGAACAAACCACGGCGGGCCTATCGGTACTTGCGGCTCTTCCTCTTCGATCGGATATGCCAGAGTGATCAGAAAGCCGCCGGTTTTAACGAGCTTCGACATCTGAACACCCCATTCCATGCGTCGGCTTGGAGGAATGGCCACAAAAAAACTGGAAGGACCTCTTATAAAGTATGCAGGTAGAAGAATGGAAACATACGTGTAGTCGTAGATAAGATCGAATTTCTCGGTTTCGGTGACTTGAAGAAAGAAGAAATCGCCTTGCTCGAATCGGATGTTGTCGACCTTGCTCGCTGAGACTTCCCTGGACAAGGTCTGAATAAGTGAGGGGTGAAAATAACGCGTACTCTGATGCTTTCTTTACTGCAGTTGGTGATATATCCAGGGCAAGTGTCGCAAAGCCTAATGTTGATGCGATGTAGACTGCGTCGTAGCCCTACTCCTGATGAGTGCTCGACTACTTATATAACCGTGAACATAATGACGGAGCCACAGCCGGGGACAAGAGCACGGCCACTATTCGGAAGCTGGAGTTCTCCAGAGCTGATGATTTCACGAAGGGGCGGTTGGCATTCGCCTGCATCCCATGGAGTCGCACCTTCCGCCCTTTAATTGATCAAGACGGAAATCGGGCGTTAAATTTAGTCTACCACGTCTTGTCCCAGCTACTGTATGAGGATCGTCCGTGACGAGCTCTTGAACTCGTTTCATGGCCTCTGACCGTTTTGACATTTGGATTGTTGTCCAAGTCAAAGGGTATTAGTCAGCGACTGCGGCCACGTGTTGAGTGAAGACGACGATGAAGAGTTCAGATATCTTGCTTATTGTGGTCAGCCTAGACTCTTGCCTTCCTACTAGTCCAACGCTATGAACTATAGATTGCCGTCTTGTTCCCTCCCGTGTCGACCTTCTTCATTTGCGGCTGCGGCATAGATCTTGTTATCGGCATTCTGCTCTCGATGTGCGGCAATTCTGTTTGAGCCCTCTGCCTTCATTGACTCTAGGTAGACTTGGCTACATCCCTGGTCTCATTGCATGTCTTTCACTCAAAAGACTGGATTGACCCATTGAACTCTTTTCCAGCATTCTCTTTGGCTTATCTTCCGCAAGATGGAGGCCGAGGAACGCTTTGGGCAGGATGCCTTTGTGTGTAGGTTTATTATTATTATCACCCTTGCCCGTTGAAGTTTTACTGGCTGCAGATATTGGATACGGCAACTTCGAACAGGCTGTCCAGAGTTCCCCACCTCCAGGCTATGGAGCGACTGCAAACAACCAAGTGTAGCCTACCCAGAAAGGGAAGCTAAGGAATGCTGACAAATAGTACTGTGTGCAAAGAATAATGTTATGCGGAATGCGACTAAGTGTGATATGTGATGCAAGTACAGAGCAGCCTCGAAAAAAAACTACAAGCAAGAGAAAAATATAAAGCGAAAGCGTTGCGAATAACAAAACAAGAAAGACTGACCGTTTGTGCGTTATATGCGGTCCATGACGATAACAACATCTTCGTCCTCTTCATCGTCGTCATCTTCTTCTTCAACTACTACACTCGGCGCCGCAGTCGGTAGAACAAACTTTTCCCAGCCCTCGGTGCTACGAACCCAGTCTCCCCGAGTTTCGGCATAGTGAGAGAGGGCAAGAACATCTCGGACAAGGTTAACGTCAGTGGTCTTGGCTTGCACCCGTTTAAAGGATGCCAGAGTGTCGATCCGTACCCAACCTCGGGAGTCCATCTAGTGGTGAGCAGGTCAGCTGCATTGCTTTTCAACATGGTACAGACACAGACCTGCTGCCTGAGATAGAAGTCTGTCGCCATATTATCAGGGCTGAGATAAAACTCGAGTTGGCTCAGGATTTCCATCCGCAGACGGTCGATTGGGAATGATAGTTGGGTCCGCAACGTTGGCGGAGGTGCTGAATAGTATTCAGACATCATATGCAGGTTCTGTGAGCCATAGTAGTCGTCCAACGGTACGGGTGGAAGGTAGTTTACGGTCGGATTAGCCGTAAAAGCAGCGTACAGTTGCTGCTGGTGACGATTAGGTCCGTACGGAGCAGAAGAGTCGGCTCTGTTGCTGTTATAGCCACGATAGCCTCTGTGACCCCCTCGGCCCCTCCTGCCGCCGTAGCCACGGGGCTCAAATCCACCATTAGCATACGAGCCCCTTCTTGGTCGCCCGTAACCCTGTCCCTCAAAGTCACGGGTGGTGGGACGCTCAAAATCTCGCGCGGTTGAGCGCTCCTCGGCTGGAGACTGTCCTGCAGACGATGGCTCATAGTCACGTGGTTGTCGTAGAACTGAAGCCCTCACGAGGTCCGCATTGGAAGTTGTACTGTGGCCGAAGCCGTAGCCAAAGTCGCGGACCTCCCATTCCGACCCATGACTGACGGGGACGGTGGGGTCGACGTCGTTGGAAGGTGAATAAGGGATCATCATACGTGGGGGAGGCATAGCATAGCCGTACATGGCCGTGTCGTAGGGATAGCCCCAGAAAGGAGGTCCATACGTGCCATGTGGTGATTGAGTAGGTTCCTCCGCCAGGTTTGACCGCGTTGTTCCAAACTCCCATTTGCCGCCCATAGCACTCTCTTGACCATTCGCTGCACCAGTTCCCAAAGCTACTGTCAGATCGACCACCTCTACCCCGGGAAATTCTTCCAGACGGGCTGCGCGGGCACGCGGCGAAACACCAATCGCGAATAGCGCAGGCTTTGAAGCACTGAGCGGCAACCCAACTGGGGTGGAAGATGAGTTGGATGGCGGAGAGATGCCATTAGATGCTGCTGCATGTGGTGGATCGGAGTTGAGTTCAACCGGTCCGCTCGGACTGGAAGATATTCGAATCGCAGAAGGGGATTCAGGTTGAGGCGAAGTCTGAGGTTTCCGTCGTTTGGCTTCGGTTTTTGTCGGTGCATCAACGTCCAATCCAGTGTTCTCGGTCGCATCTATGGTCCCAAAAAGGAAAACCCGCGGAGGCACATTTTTCGTTGGATGTGGGGGGTGAGGTTGTTGGGTTGGCTCAACTATTTGAGGTGGTGGGGGCTCAGATGGAGCAGATAGTGCCTGTGACTGCTCAGAAGGCAGCCACCAATAATGGGGTCGCCACCCGTCGCGATAGTGATTGTGTGGGGGAAGTTCGGTGGACTCGTCTTGAAGATGGCGCGTCAGTGGCGGATTGGTGGACCAGTATTGATATGGTTGTTGGAAGTAGGACGATGTGGGATAAGTGCGGGTGGCATTAGGGTTTATATAAGCCCAAGAATTATCGCCTGGCGCGTATTCGGGCTGGGGGTAACCGCGTTGTTGATCGCGATCGCGGTCGAAGGAAGCTACACTCTCTTCACGAGATGTTGTTGTACTGGGAGTTTGACTCTTCCTACGCCCTGGGCGCTCCGCCATACCGTTACGAAGCTCAGCAGTTGTGGCCCTTTGTTGTTGCCGGGCGGCAGCACGGAGCTCCTCTGGAGGGATTGGTACCCATTTCCGTTGCTTGATTTTGGTTGGTGGCATAGACGGTCCAGATGACTGTACTGAGGAACTGGCGCTACTGCTTGCACTACCCTTGGCAGGCGAAACTGCTCCAGAATTTGAGGGAGACGAGAAGGCGGGGGTGGGAAGCACCGAGGAGAACGTCGATGGGGATATAGGCGGCGTAGTTTTTCTGGATTTGGGGGCTGGTAATACGAAATTACTTGGAGACGAATGAAGAGTGAACAAAGGCCACGTACGTTGTGAAAGACCGTTTGCGCTAGTAACGGTCGGCCAAACATCGACTACATGCTTTCTGACAACGAATGCATCGTGATTTGGAGGTGGCGGAAGTTGTGGGGGAGATTGAGGCCCTCCTTGTCGAGCTTTAGCAGCGCGTTCAGTCCAGACATTTGCGACTGTGGCCATGGCGGGCAGAAGCCGCGAGTGTGTGTGACAAGCCCAACACAATCTAATGTAAGTACTGGTAATTACCCCCTCATCGATAACTTTTGCACCATATATCAGCTGGATACGGATAAAACAAATCTTTCATTGGTAGTTGTCAACGCTGAATGTTGACGCTGAATCCTGACTCATCGTGGGGGAAACATGACTGCGGGCTACCAGACGGACGACTCTTCTCCGATACTGAATCGAATCGTGTTTGTGTGAGGAATCAAAAACAGCCAGTGAGCTACGTAGTGGCGATGTGAATCCGTGGTATAGTACACTGTAACGGCAGGTGGCGGCAAGACAACGAGGCGACTTGTGGGCGTGACCAACACTGCCAAACCTGTTGTTGAACGGCCAAGTTCATCGACACGAAAGCCCATAATTCCCTCCTTTCTTTCTCTTCCCGCGACTGCGATTCACAATCAACGCTCTGACCACTGAACAATCCTCCTTGAATATTAACCTCCGCCCGATCTTCAAATATTCCACGATCTTTGTGAGTCGAGCAGGTCAACTCAGCTGGGTAGTAGCTCACGTCAATGGTCAGGAAATGTATGCACCTTCAAGGGCATACGCTTACCCTCAAGCACCAGCTGGTTTCCCGCAGGTACCCTTCAATGGGCCACCGCCGAAGCCACCTCATATCCGCGCGAATCCCCAAGACTGGCAGAATGGGTCTTGGTCCATCAACCCTGCTTTCAACGCGTCGCAATGGTCTGTATCGTCGGCGGCGGCAGCTTGGGTGCCTTCCCAGTCATGGGCTCAGCGTCAAGCTGCCGAATGGCAAGTTCAACAGCAACAAATGGCGGCAGCAGCCCATTACAACCCTTTCAAACGCGTTCCAAGACCACCAAGTGCTGAATACCTCGCCACGAAACTTTCCGATAATCCTTTGGGCTTAATCAACATGATCCCCAGGTGATCAACTCTTTGTGTCCGTGTTGTGTTGACTCACACACAAGTTTAGAGAAACGCTTTTTGGTCCTAAAACTGATGGTATGGCTGCTGCAACACCATGGGTCTGGAATCCCCGCAATTTGCAAGACGAGGACAATGATACTGAACCGGAGACGGCGCCAACCTCGAATTCTGGTCCAACTACAAATTCAGCCCCACCTCCAAATTCAGCCCCACCAATTTACGCACGCGCTCAACAACCCCAACCGGATGTTCCAGATCAAAGTAGACGCGCTACAACAGTCCCAGCCCGCCACTCCTCCGAGCCCCCAGCAGAGCGACGTCAGTCCTTTGACGATAGGCCCCGTCGCCACAACCAACCAGATGACATTTTTACTTCGCGAGAACTCCAACCCACATTCTCCACTAACATCGTCCGTACCCCAGATCATTACAGAACGCGGAGCTCGAGCGCTGGCCCTTCCCCATCGCCTCAACCTATTTATGGACCTCCCGCCACGCCTCGTCGTGCTTCAGTAGATTCTGACTTGTCGAACCGCATGGAGCGTTTGAACACAAACTCCCTCTCTCGGCATGCTTCTTTACCAGCTCCTCTTAGTGCCCCTGCTACTTCAACATTCATGACCAGTGGCTCTGCTTTGGTTGAGGAACCGGGCAACTTACTCAGTCCACTCGTGGGAATCTCATCCAATCATAAGCATTCACCTCGGCCACTGGGGCCATCCTCTTCTCTCAACACTATACCCGAGGGATTTGACAACGACTCGACGCGGCGTTCACCAAAACGCAAATCCAAGTCGGCTAATCGCCGTTCCAGACATACTTCGCCAGTTCCACATTCATCAGCGAGTTCACCTCCGCTTTCTAATATGTTTGGGATACCACCGCCGATGAATGTTTATCAATCGGCGCCTCCCAATGGACAAGAAAGTGTCACACCTCCCCACAACTTGACCCCACCGCATAATCCAACTGGGTCGTCAAGCTTGACTCCACCTCATTCAGCCCAATTACCCAACATTACCCCTCCGAGAGCATCATCTCACAGTGCTTTCGCAACCCCTACACACCAGCCTGTCCCCGCGTCCTATTCGCACCATTCGTCGTATTCAACGCCTGATCATTCGCTGTTAGCCTCGTCGTACTCAAGTCCAACGCATCCATCCACTTATTCCCAGCAACCACTCCAGAACCCACTTCCAGCCCCGCCTCAGGAGCCGGTTTCGCGTGAGCCAGATTTGCGCATACCTATACAGCGACCAGTGCCAGATAAATGGCGGACTAGGAAGCGTATGGGAATGTGGAATCGACGAGGAGATCATCTGACGATGGATGGCTACATAGTCTACGCACCGTCTAATCGTGCTTATCCAGAGGAGCTCAGCGATTATCCAGCCGAAAACGTTGGCTATCGCGACCATCGTGGTAGTGAGTTGAAATATTTGGAACGACCTGAGCTCCCGGAGTCTTTACCGCGCCATGGGCAACCACCTCTGCAGCCGTATGATAAGGTCTGTTGCTTCTCTGTTGACGCATTCCCACTCTCATCACGTGCTAGTTTGTGGTATATGAATACCAGCAATAAGTTTCTGTTTGGATATTTGTTGTTTGTTGCTCTATTTTTTTCTTGTAGTAACTCGACACTGTCGTTAAACATGCATTAGCACTCTTGTATTACAAAGCAATTACATAAATAAATAGCAACAAAAAATTACAGGATAATTGTACACAAGAATGTTACAGGTCATCTTGGACCAACCCAATTCCACCGTGCTCAGCACGCATATGCTGGTAGATCCCATCACCCTTGGGGAATGTCCGCAAACACATCCAACAGATGTGGGTTTGGCACTGACTGCAAGTCACGTGATGGCACCCTTTGTCTCGTTCAATTGGAACTTCGCATCCAGGACAGTGCTTGACATCGTGCTCAGCCACCCATTCCTTGAATGATCGGTCTCCGCCATCCTGTTCAGCGCAGGGGAAACCCTCGTGGGCTTCCACATGACAATATGTGCAAATTCGCACCAAACAGGAAGGGCATTGAACGACTGTTCCCTCAGGTCCAGTGCGATATATTTGTAAGCAGTCCGGCGTTGGGCAATGATGGAGTTCCTTTGCATGAGCACGAACGTATGATGAAAGCGCAGTATCAACAAGCATGTTGAACTCGTTGGGTGTAAGCACATTCCGCGCTGTTGACAGCGGGATTGGCTGATGGCACTGCCCATTACCTCCCAGGCATGTGAGGGGAAAACGGCGGTGGTCCACCGAGACAAGAAGGTACTGGGATAGACAGTTGCGACACCATGTATGACCACAGGACAGAGTAACTGGCGCGACGTATTTGTTGAAACAGATAGGGCAACCAGAGAAATTAGACGAGTCGGGAAGGGATTGCTGGGCTCGGTGAATGGCCTCGATTCCTGCCTTATAGAGCTCGTCACCACCGTAAAATATGATGAGGCCATCACGGGGGATAAGGACGATGTTCTCTGCCCCGAAACTCCGGCAAAGACGGCCATGTTGCGTTGTGATGAAGTTGTTGAGGACATGACTCCGGACATGAATCTTGCGCGGTCTTTGAGCTCGAGACTGCGCTATTCTCTCTAAGATTGCAGTGCGTGCGGAGGCGCGATTTAGAGGTGTTCCGAAGAGATTGATGCTTTGCCGAAGGGCATTGACTTCAACTCTCACTTGAAAGTCCACCTCCAGTTGTCGTAGAAATATAGAGCCGCCCTCGCATGCAAATATTCCGTCCCAAACAGCCACACCATCGCTACGAACAATCTCTCCTCGAAGTATCTTCTCAAACTCTACTTTGAGAAAGCCTAAATCGCTGATTGACTCAGATAAGAGTTTGATTTTGACGCTCTGTGCAGAAGGGTGTCGTATAGTAATATTCCTTGAATGCCCGTTTCGTATTGCTGCAGACCGCATCAGTTCGATGAGGGCCTCATGCTTGGCATATGCTTCTGCAGATAGCTCGTATTCCAAGAATTGGATGTGACGAGCGTAGAGCGTCTTCTTGCCAATGAATAATGGTTTACGCCCATGTATGACAGACACAGCAGCCTTTGCAGCCGTGGCTGAGGAGAAGCGGGCCCAAGCACGGACGAGGCCATTGTAGTGTGGAGGCGGTGCGACTTCGAGGTTCAAAAAGCCATCTAGGCCGCGGAGGAGGGTCCGAACACCATCAACAGCAGGAGGGAGGGCAGCGTAATTTGGGCGCTCCCACATGACATCAGCCGCAGAGGGGCCTAAGTCGCCCAAAAATTTCTCGTCCGCATCTGGAGGGAGGTTCGAAAACTTCACTGTCACGACTCCGATGGATGGTAGGCCTTCATGTATCAATGCTTTGACCATGTAGTCGCCGTATGCTGCCTTTTTTGTCGCTGCAATTACCGTAGTGGCATCGGTAAATGAGGAATAGCCACCATAGGCAATTCGTTGTGGAGCTTCCCATTGTATCCTGATTGAAGTATCGGTGATGGAGACAGCACCGCTGCGTGAGTTGACTGAAATGCGTGCGGAGATTTTTGAACGAGATATTTGGGCACCATCGAGTGCTGCAGTCGCCCGTAAAGCTTCGGCGTAACAGGAGAACCGAGCCTGCACTAGGGCTTTGGACTGGTGTGATATCTTAACCTCTTCAACCAGACCATACTGACGCAATAGCTTGTGGATGGCAGGTGCGGTGAAGTGGACAGGGAGGTTACTAAGAGTGATCCATGGTGTTTCCATACCGGTCGTTACCGCGAGAACCTCGAATCCGGCGGCGATCGTAACTTGGGTATGGTCATGTATTGTTACGGAGTGGGGTGGTTCAACAGAAGGAAGCTGGATGACATCAGACAATCTGAGAAGAATTTTTCGGAGTGAAAAAAACAAACTGTATCGGTATCAACACAGCCAACATGCCCATGCAGGTATCGGCAACGGTTCCCCAGAGAGCAAACTCCGCGTAGCCATTTGCGGCATGTCTGGTGGACAGTGGGAGACGCTCGGGTGTCGGTAGGATGGGATGTTGGGGTGGCGTCAGCAATGGGGAGAGTCTAAACAAACGTTGGATATGAGCCAATTAGATATCGGTAAAATGCATACCCTCGACGTTGAAGTCTCGTCTGTACCAACACAGCTAGCAGAGCCATGTAGGTATCGGCAGTGGCTGCCTAGGGTACAAACCCCGCGTTGCCAATTGTGGCATGGTGGAACGGTGGACGGCGCCCGAGCCTCCGCAGCAATAGGATGAGACGTTGGTGCCTATTGAAATGTTCAAGATGATCATGATGTTGGTAAAGATAACAGACCGAAGATTTCGTCTCGTTGGACGTCGAGGTATCATCCGACGAGAAACTAGCCTCCGTCCATGCCTTTTCGTCAGGTCTCGTACCCCAGTAGCTCGTCCGGTGGTTATACCACAGTTTGTGTTGCGGCTGTTTCGAGTCGATGGTGGTAGACTCCCAATTCGACCCGTGCCAAACATCATGCGCATTGTCCTGAGGCTCCATGGGAGGCGGCTGTTGGGGATTCACAGGCAAAAATGGTGGTGATGGACCGAGTCTGACGAGCGGCGGACCAGGGCCTGAGCCATTCAACATAGAAGTTTGGGAATTGAACGGGTCCGAAAGTGACTAGGTTAGCGAATGTGGGATCGGCAAGCTTGATGACTCGACTAAATACGCACCTCTGTGTTCGGAAGCTTGACGGTGAGCGATGGCGGAAGATTGTGGGGGAGTGTTAGGGACGAGAACTTATAAGAGCAGAGTTACGAGCGAACAGAGAAGAGAGAGAGAGAGAAAAATAAACTCACTAAAGGCTGACTCGAAGTATGTCTCCGGCTCGACGGATGAGCAAAGTTGCATTGGTTCCCCCTAGCGCACCGATCCTCCAGAAATAGTCTGCAGACATTGTGGCTGCGAGCCTATGGTGTTGTTAAGCACGTCCAGTTTCGGTAGCTGCTCTGAAACGATGTGCATGGTTCAAATTTCGTGGCTCAAATCATCCGAGAGCCAACTAGCCCTGACTGAGTTGGCCACAAATTTCGAACGAGGCGCATCTTTTCCGAGCACAGTGGCTTGCCTTGAAGTTGGCGTTGGATGGTCTCAACTGATAAATACCAGATTATTAGTTCAAGAAACCACCCATTGCTTGAACGCACAGCGCCGATGGGGTAAGCGGAAGATTGCCCTGTAGTTTGAGTACGGCTCCAGGATTCTGTAGTGCCGTTCATCTGGAAAGAGCGGCCAGCCATAGTGTCCAGGACAGAGAGTTGGAAAGTGAGCGAATTGCTTGTGACGTCACAAGCCGTGCGAGTAGGTGCGAGTTGCAACGTTTACCACTGCCTTCACCGTGGTTCACGATGGCTTTCGAAAAATGGCGTTCGTCGCTCGTCAATTGAAGTTAAGGCAAACTTTGGATCTTCTTCTGTAGATGCGAAGCTTGTTGCACCTCGTGCATGCCACTCGGCAATATATGGCGGATAAATCACTCTCACTCTAATGCTACTCTCCCTGGCTCTTGTATCTGCTTTCGCTCAATGGTTCGCCAAAGCCCAAACCCCCGCCCCTTCTGGTCAATTCAACGTTCTCTCTATGAATGTTGCGGGCCTGCCCGCGATATTGAATGGAAACGGAGAAGGCAACGACGCGACTAAGCAGAATAACACGCGACTCATCGGCACAAACATGGCAAAGCTCAACTACAGTGTGATCCACGTTCAAGAGGGTTTGTGGGCCAACTTTTCACAGATGACCATACGAACGATGATTCAGACTTCAACTATCACGCTTATTTGTACTCGACCGATACTCATCCTTTCAGAACCGCAACCTCTGGAGGTGTCCCATTCGGCTCCGGATTGAACACGCTTTCCAACTTCCCCTGGTTCTCTGATGTTATACGTGTGAAAGTGTGTCCCCCAACCAAGATGATGTTGACTTTCTTAAGAGTCCTAGTGGAAGAGGTGTTCCGATGCATCTGAAAATGACTGTTTGGTGCGCTTCCGTCCTTTTACACAATACCTATTGTTGACTCATTGTCAGACTCCCAAAGGGTTCACCTTCATGCGCATCAGATTCGACGTTGGCACATACATTGACTTTTATAACCTCCATGCCGACGCGGGGACAGAGGCTGGCGACGAGACAGCTCGAGCTGCCAATCTACAACAAGTTGCGGACTACATCGGTGCGTTTTTTATCCTTATCGAGAAGTTGGACGTTTAGTTTGTCAAGATACCTGGTCTACAGGCAACGCCGTTTTGGTCTTTGGAGACACGAATGCGCGATACACGCGCGTTGGCGACGGGATTCGTATATTCCAAACGCAGAATGGGATGTTGGATGGATGGGTAGAAAGCGTGAAAGGTGGTGTCTATCCAACACTCAACACCAGTGCCCTTGTTTGCAATGACGGGGTGCCAACAAACACTAGCTGTGAGGTCGTCGATAAGATTCTTTATCGATCCAACAAACTCATCTCCCTAACCAACCACGGATTTTCTTACGATACGGCTAGATTCCTGAACTCTACCGGTGGCATGCTGTCTGACCACAATCCCATTCGTGTTGACTTCGATTGGGCATTGGCCCCGACTTGGCGACAGTCGGATCTTCAAGGAGGGCCACATGGCGATTGGTTCAATGATCTTCCCAATGTACCCAACGGCGCGAAAACAAAAACTTTAACTATCAGAGGCGGTTCCAGACTAGACTCCGTAGCTCTGACTCTCACCAATGGTCAGTCGTTTGTTCATGGAGGCACTGGCGGCACTGCTGTCTCTCTTACACTTGCCGCTGGAGAGAATATCATCGCAGGCACTCTGTGCTGGGACAAATTCAACGGTGACACGCGAAACTTCTATGCCTCATTCCAGACTTCTGGAGGTCGAGTACTCAAGACTGGTGCTCAGACATCTCAGTGTGCAACGATGACAGCGCCGACAGGCTTTAGTATTGTAAGGTTCGAGGATTCTTCTTGGCTTACGACCACATCGTGGGACTCTGATCGACACTCAAAAACTTGCTTGAGTGGGTGCATTGGAACCACGGAGGGGCTGTAGCTATAGGCTTTACTCTACCTACGTACACAAACCAACTTTAAAAATGGCAAATACGAGAGGCACCAACCTTTCGAGAAGCGGGACACCAAGCGCGACGAACACAGGGCCATCACAGGCTCAGAAAAAACCAGCGACAAGGGCAAACTCGCCCAAAGAGTACATTTACATGAACAAGAAACAACTCTACGAGTGCGGACAAGAGAAAGGAGCATGGGAAACAGCCACGGCGCATGAGGCATGCGAAGGGCTACACCAGAAAGGTGCGTTCATCACCGACTACGAAGAAGGTGTCACCCCTAGCGTGCAACAAATTGCGATGACGGTGCTGCGAATGGGGGCGGACCTGCAGAGCCGGGACGTCAACATGGCCTGGTGCTGCAGAGCAGTAGCGAGGCTGCTGGACGAGGTAGCGAAAGACGCAGCGGAGGCGATGGACAGAAAGATGAACAGGGTGCTCGAGATTCTCGAGGAGACGGGGGACAACGTAAGCGGGAGGGGACGCGCCGAGATGGGGAGACGGAGCGGGAGGAGAAGGAATAGTGGAGGAGGTGAGAGGGGCAGCGGAGATGTTGACGCGGACGATGGACGAGCAGAAGGAGGGGGATGGAGGAGTTGCTGAGACGCATGGAGACAACGGTACTGGAGACGTTGGAAAGGGCGGAGGAGACGGGCAGGGAAAGAGAGACGCCGAGGGGTTTCGTATGCGGCTGCAGCAGCCAGAGCAAGCGCGAAAAACGAGGGACCAGATAGAGATGATAGGCAAGGCCAACGAGAGGGAGCAGCAGTTGTGGATTGAAGGGGCAGCGGTCGAAGGCTTGTCGGAAAAGGAAATGGTGGAGAAGGCCAAATACGCGATCGAGCATGCAGCAGAGGACGAAAGAGCGCCGGAGTGGGTGAAAGTACTGGCAGCAAGGAGGGTGAAGAATGGGGCCCTGCTCCTCAGGATGGCGTCAAGAGAGGCGACCGAGTGGGTGAAAGAAAGAATGGAGAGATTCAGCACAGGGATGGGAGGAACAGCGCGATACCGAGAAAGGCTCTACGACGTCGTAGTGGAGTTCGTCCCCAAGACCATAGCGCCCATCGGAGAGTACACCCTTAGGGAGCTGGAAGACAACAACAACATGCGCAGAAACGACATTGGAGCAGCGCGCTTCATCAAACCCGAGGAACGGCACAGACCAGGACAAAAAAGTCGCCCACATGATAGTGGGCTTCCGCAGACCAGAGGCGGCGAACAGGTTCTTAGCGCATGGCATGTTCGCGGAGGGGAAGAAGGTACAGGGGAGGAAGATGCTTACAGAACCAATGAGGTGCCTCAAGTGCCAGAAGATTGGCACAGGTCACGTGGCCGCGACATGCCCAGCGAGAGAGGACACGTGCGCAAGATGCGCAGAGAAGCATCGAACGGGCGACTGCACAGCCGGGGAAGGGGAGAGAAAGTGCGCGAACTGCGAGGCAGCGGGAGACGAGATGGGCTGCAGGACACATGGGGCAGCGGACCGACAGTGCCCAGTCTTCGCAGAGAAGCTGAAGAACGCGCTGGAAAGGAACCCGGACGCGAAATACACATTCTTCCCCGTGCCAGAAGACAAGACGACGTGGCTAGAGGTTGGGAAGAACACCATAGAAGAAGAGTATGAACCAGACTGGAAGACCATCCTGCGAGCGAGGAGCAAGGCGGCAGGACCAACACAGAACGTGGCGAGCGAAATACAACAGGCAATGACCAGGGGGCCGAGAGCGACAGCGCCCGAAGGGGCCAGTCTTGAGACAGACAGCCATCACAGAGTATGCGGCGACGCGGAACGCTGGCTCGCTGGGAACGGGGAGCATGGTCCTGAGCACCAACGCGGGACAAACAGAGAAGAACGGCGAAGCGCTGGGAGGACCATGAATAACAGAGGAGAGATCAGCACAAACGAGACGAACAGACTGACACTTTGGCAGCAGAATGTAAACAAGTCGCTGGACGCGCAGCTGGACCTGCTGAACAGGATGGACCCGAGGAGGTACGATATGGCTTTGATACAAGAACCTTACTTTGACCACTGGGGTCTTTCGAGGGCGAACAATCGATGGCATACGGTATACCCCACAACACACAAACAAGACGCAACAGAGATCAAGGGCGATGGTTCTCATCAACGCGAAGATACCCACAAGGATGTGGACGGCGGTGGCGATACAGAACCCGGACATAGCGGCGGTACAGATCCAGGGCGAATTCGGCACACTGAGGATAATCAACATTTACAACGACATCGCGCATAACGAGACGGTCAAGGCATTGCTGGAGTACATGGCGAGCCCGGCGGGAAAATGGTGCCCGGTACAACCGCTACGATACATCTGGGGAGGGGACATCAATAGGCACCACCCGGACTGGGAAGACGAGGCCAGAAACGCGCACCTGTTGAACGGGAGGGCGATGGACCACGCGGAAGCCTGGAGAATGCTGGTATCAATGTTCAGCATGAGAATGGCGCTGCCAAAAGGTATACCGACACTGAAAGCCTTCGCCACAGGAAACCACACGCGAGTTGACAACGTCTTCATATCGCCATCGCTGGAGCCGCACCTGATAAAATGCGTGACGGAGCCGGGACAACAACCAGTGAAGACGGATCACTTCCCGATCATACTGACGATTGAGTTGCAGATACCGACACAACAGCACCAGCCGAGGCCGAAGTATGCAAGCACTCACTGGGGGCAATACCGCGCGAGACTACTGGAGAAACTGCAAGAACTCCCGAGACCGGAGAGATACGAGAACAGAGAGGCGGCCGAGGAGGGACTAGCAGCAGTGGAAGAAGCCATCAGGGAAACCACAGAGGAGATGGTGCCCATGACGAAGCCGTCGAGACACTGGAAGAGATGGTACGACAAGAAGTTGGACGAGATGAGGAAAGAGAGCGCAAAACTGCACCAACAATCGTACAGATGGAGGTTCGAGACGGGACACCCGGTACACGAGGAGGCGAAGGAGGCGAGGAGGGCGTTCGCGGAGGCGGTGAAGGAGGCGAAGAGAGAGACATGGGAGAGGTTCCTGGTAACAGCGACGAGGGAGCGAGTATGGGATGTTGCGAGATTTGCGAAGGCAAAGAGAGACGATGGGGGAGCGACCAGGGTACCCACGCTGAAGGTGGATGGAAAGGGAAGCTGACGAGGAGGAAGAAAAGGTACGCCTCTTCAGAGCTGAGTTTTATCCCCCTGAAATGATTGCGCCCGCGACGCGAAACGATACGAACTACCCGCAACCCAAGTTCGAATATGAAGCGGTCAGCGACAAGATCTTGAAGGAAACGATAGCCGACATGAAGCCATACAAGGGTACATACCCGGGATCTCCGGCGAACTGCATCTTCAAAGAGTGCGAAAACCTCCTAGTGCCATTTATAGGGCCGATATACAGGGCGATGGATGGATTCGAGTGGTACCCGCAAGGGTGGGCCGACACGCTGACGATTGTGTTGAGAAAGCCAGGCAAGCCAGACTACTCCAAACCGGGAGCGTACCGGCCGGTCGTACTGTCGAAGGGGCTCGCGCGACTATACCACGCTTGCAAAGCCAAACAGCTGACGAGGGGAGCGGAATTAGCGGGCATCCTGCCGGGCGAATCAGTACGGAGCAAGGCCCGGAAGATCGACCACGGATGCAGTGCACAAGGCAGTGTTGATCATCAAGAAGGCGTGGGAAAAGGAAGAAGTCGCCAGCATCCTGTGCATGGACGTCAAGGGGGCGTTCCCGAGTGTGGACCTGAAGCGCCTGAAACACGAGATGAGGATAAGGGGGGTGCCAGAGGGCTATGTCAAATGGGTGGAGAGGAGATACGCGACGAGAACGAGCAAGATGTTATTCGGCGACTTCCTGTCGAACAGCTACCAGGTGAACAACGGGCTCGACCAGGGAGACCCGATATCGGGGATACTATACCTCATATACAACGCCACGCTAGCGGAGATACCCAAGCAGAGGAGGGGGGAAAACAAGGTGCTCTTTGTAGACGACGACACTCTGATAACTACGGGCAGGAACTTTGAGGCGACGCACAAGAAGATCGACGACGTGACGCACAGAGACGGGGGCATCGTCCACTGGGGAGCGGAACACAACGCGACCTTTGGACCGGAAAAATACCAGCTCGTGGACGTGACCAGAAAGAGAGTCAAGAACCCGCCGGGGCAAAGAGGGACGAGACAGATGCCGAGGAGCGATATGAGGTTGGGCAGGCATGTGATAAAATCGACGACGGCAGTCAGTGGTGGGTGTACACATCGACAACGAGCTGAGATGGAAGCAGCAAGAGGCGGCGGCGATAGGAAAGGGTCAAGCCTGGCTAGCGACGTTCGAGAGACTGGCGAAGGTGACAGGAGGACTCCCACCGGTGAGCATGCGAAGACTATACCTGAGCATATGTGTGCCGCAAATGCTTTATGCAGCGGATATCTTCCTCAACCCGACCGACAAGACGGCAACAGGAAAAGAACGCAAAGAGGAGTAATAAAGAGGCTAAGGACGATACAGAGAAGGGCAGCGCTCAAGATTACGGGAGCGCTCTCATCCACGCCCACAGAAGTGCTAGATGTCTATGCTAACTTGCTACCTATAGAAGAGCTCGTGCACAAAGTCAGGGAAACAGCCGCCCTCAGGCTAGCGACACTCCCAGAAACACATCCCTTGAACAAGGAAATGCGAAGGAACAGACCAGGCGGACAGGAAGAAAGATCGGAGCACGATATCGGAGATGATCGAGTACCTCCCAAGACCCGAAGGAGTTCGAAGCAATACAGGCAGTGAGGAGGGGGGCGGCACGAAGGACGTAACAGTGAGTACAAACATAGCGGGGAGCAAAGAAGGGCGATAGAGGAGGAGCTGAGGGACGAAGCGAGATGGAAGATATACACCGACGGGTCAGGGATAGACGGAGAAATCGGGGCCTCGGCGGTGATGTACAGGGACAACAGACTGGTGGGGACCATGAGGGCGAGACTGGGGACAATGCAACAGCACACAGTATATACGGGGAGGCAGTAGGGAGCGGCATGGCGCTGGAGCTGTTACGGAACCAGAGAAGGGTGGAGGGAAAAGTGACGATCGCGGTTGACAGCCAAGCGGCAATAAAAGCAGTCAACTCATCGAAATCCACACCGTCGAGCTGGTTGTGGGACGATTGGCACGAGAAGTTTTCAAAACTTACTAGCATTCACACTGACATGGAACTAACCATCCGTTGGACTCCAGGACACGTCGGAATACCGGGCAACGAGCGGGCAGACGAGGAGGCGAAGAAAGCGGCAGCGGGCGACACAACTAAGCCGGAAGAGCTACCAAGAGAATACCACCCCGAGATTCCGATCAGCAAATCAGCTGCGAAACAAATGCTGGAGGCGAAGCGGAAAGCCAGGGTCGCGGACAAGTGGAGAAAGTCGAAGCGATATCAGCAAACGATGCAGTACGATGTGAAACTAGTGAAGGGCTCGTACCTCAAGCTATACACGAGTGTCCCGAAATCTTACGCAGTCTTACTTATGCAACTGAGGACGGGACATTGCACGCTCATGAACACATGCACCGGATCACCAAGGCGGATTCACCAATTTGCCCATGCTGCAGACAGGCGGACCGAAACAGTCGCACACTACCTATTGCATTGCAGCGCACACGAAGAGGCGAGAAGAAGGCTATACGAAGAAGGAGGAAGGGACACGAGAGTGATAAAAAAGCTGCTGGGAGCCGGTAAGTTGTTAGAGCCGCTGATGTGGTTCATATATAGGACGGGGAGATTTCGAGCGGTGCACCGACACCTCAGGAAGCCACTAGACCAGAATGGAACGTATGGGGACGACCTACTCGACCTAATATCGAAGCTACGGACGGACGGGATGGAAGAAAAGGACGACCTGCCAACACTGGCGAAGGAAGCGAAGCCATTTGGATGAAGAAGACGAGAACGACGAGGGAGAAGGAGGACCACCGACACGCGAAGCAAACACGCTCTCACATTAACAATCTATAATCACTACAGGACACTAATTACACCCACCTTCACGCCGCCGCCCCGAGCAAACCGGCTGAAAGGGCAAGATACCGAGGCAAAACACAAGAGAGCAGGAGTAGGAAAGGGTCTAGAGAGCACATGGTGATGGCTACCGTACATTGTTTGTAGAGGCCAAATAACGGGGAAAAAAAAAAAAAAAAAAAAAAAAAAAATTGTAAGGTTCTATGGTCAAGATGGAGACGAAATTGATTTACTTGGATTCATCTACGGGAAACAGTGAAAGGCACATGATATGGTTCGACAAGGACTGTTTTCTTATGTACTTGGTCGTTGGCTTAGTTTTACAACAATTGAAGTGCTTACAACTTACTTACAACTATATGAATACATTTTCATTGCTACGAATATTCTAAATCCTCTGGTTTTCCAGTCCATTGTACCCATGGTGTGTCGCGGACCACCATTTCATGCGACAGAACAATCAACGGCCACTGATGAGCGCCCTTGCACTTGCGCAAGACGAATGCCTGATCGATGGCAAGGGCTCTTTGGTCAGCATCTACGACCTCACCATGGATGCTTAGCATGACATCCGTTGTTGGTGATTTGCCAGCAGGTAAGTTGGGCGGGTCGAGCACCAGCACATCATAATCGACGTTAACCCATCCACCTGGGTGAACAAAGCGAAATCCATCCAGAACCGGTATTTTAGGCAAAGAAGGTTCTGTCCCGACGTATGAGCAAAGAGAAAAACAAGAGGAGAAATTTGGCGTGCTGGAATTGGCTGCCGAAGACCTGCGGACGGTGAAATGCTGAGGGTGAGCAAAGTTGTTGTCTCTGAAGGAAAGAGTGGCATCATCTGAGTAGGCTGTGACTAGAGATGCGCGGTCGGCATCGAACGTTGTGATAAATCTAATCATGGGTCAGATTGAACGATCCAAAAAAAGCAACCGACAGTATGCACTTTTGCAGAAAATTTAACGCGCACTGGTGGAGGTGAGTTTCCTCTTCTTCGAAGGACATGGGCTCTTCTTCATCTTCTACGGTGGAATGTTCCGGAGAAAGAACAAGGGAATGTATGGGAGTAGGAGTGGGAGAAATAGCATTCGCACTGCGACTACGCATGTCGGGTGGCTCTGAATCCGATTCGGCGTCCACGTCGATAATTTCCGGTTCCTTAACGGGGGCCTTTCCTTTTACGTGGAGTAGTGTATCCAGCCAGACCTCCTCCTTACTAGTCCTAAGAGTAGGGTTGGTTGGTCCACTTATGAGTAAGGCGAGGCGCATAGCTACCATTCGATGACCATACCATCATCACTAGTATGAAAGGCACGATAAATGAGTCCGGGCTACGGAGGTATGGGAATATGTTTCACCGGAAGAAATATTTGGTTATGTGTAACCCAAGTTCTCGGAGACCAACACACTCTCTTTGGGCCCAGTTCCGCCGGTTGGCGACGTAGTTGGGATTCAATCGCGTGCAGTCCTGCGGGACAGGAAAAAATCGTTTTGAACCAGACGTAGCTGACCGACGAGGGGGCGGCGATGGAGAGCGCGGTTCAGATTTGATTACGGGTAAGTGTTGGGGAGTGGATACCGGTCTGTGCTCGACTGAAGTTGTCGAAGGGCGTGGTTTAGACCTCACCACCGGTAAATCTTTGGAAGAGGATGCAAGTCCGTACCCGACTGAAGTTGGCAAAGGCTTGTTAGTTATCGGCGGCAGTTGTGGTGCAATTCGATGGTCTTTAACGTGGGGTAGTGGTCTTGGGTAAGGTACTTTGGCAGAAGGAAGGGGAAAATGCCTTTGCGAGGTGGATGAGACTTGAGGTGTGGTGGGTTGACGGAAAGCGCGCGTGTTGAATGACTGTGTTAATCTGCCTCTCCCTCGACCTCTCCCTCTACCTCGAAACTGTGATGAAGATATTGGAGACGGTGCATGTCTTTGTCTATTGATAGACTCGTTGGGTTGGTGATCTTCTGCATGACTCGCTATTGCGCCTGACATCCTAGGTTTTGTGGACGTGATGTTGTAAACCATAAGTGCGATTGATGGCAGGCGCAGCAGGTTTGATCCGCTTCGCTCCTTCTCTCCGACCACCAGCACGACTTCCCTGCACCACGGTACGGTCTAAGCTCATGCGATACCTGCGGGCTCATGTTCTACAGTGAAGCCAATCCATTCAGATGCAGCACTTTGGTAAAGGGGCCGTGAGAGTGGTGAAGAACTATACCAAGGGTTATTCAGACACACAGGCGCGTTGTTTCCTTCGGTCATTTTCTATCTTCGTCTTCTCTGTCATTGCCTCATAACAGTTGGCCTATATGTCGTTGCGAACGATGATAATAAATGCCACGTCTCTTGGTCGCACCTCCAGAACACTTGACTCACTTCTTTCCATCCAGGCCAAAGTTCGGGAGGCAACATCTAATGATCCCTGGGGCCCCAGCGGCACGCAAATGAATGAAATTGCCCAGATGACCTATAATCAAGGCGATTTTGTTGAAATAATGGAGATGCTGGACAAGCGATTGAATGACAAGGGCAAGAACTGGCGCCATGTGTTCAAAGTGCGTCTTGACGCTCCGAGACGTTTTTCACGCACTCATAAGTCAACAGAGTTTGACACTGCTGGACTACCTCCTCCATCAAGGCTCGGAAAATGTCATCATCTACTTCAAGGACAATCTCTACGTTATAAAGACTCTCAAGGAGTTCCAGTACATCGACGAGGATGGAAAAGACCAGGGAGGCAATGTGCGGGCTAAAGCGAAGGACATCACAAGTCTCCTGCAAGACGAATCACGCCTGCGAAATGAGCGCCGAGCACGTGCTAGTATGCGGGAAAGAATGGTACGAGGAGCGGAGGGCGAGGGTGAATTCGATGACGCAGCTAGAGCGGTTGATGAGAATGGCCGTCGGAGAGGGACATATGACGATGATATGCAGAAAGCTATCGAAGCTAGCAAGCAGTCATTGCGACAAGAACAACTCACCAAGGAGGAGCAGGACCTACAGGAGGCGATCAAGCTCAGTAAGCAGGAGGAAGACAACAGACAGCAGAGCATGGAAGAGAGCAATGCCAAATCGCTCTTCGATGACCAACAACAATTGCAACCAGCAAGCAACAACCCATTTCCTTTTCTCAATGCACCGCCACAACAACAACAACAACAACTCCAGCCACAATTCACTGCTATCCAGCCGCAGTTCACAGCGTTCAATCCATACCAGCAGCAGGCGCAGCTTGAGGTATGTGGGGTTTTCCGGAGTAGTAAAAGTCGCTAATATTGATTTTTCAAAGGCGGAATACCTGTTACAACAGCAACAGCAGCAAGCCTTCCTTCAGCAACAACAACAGGAGGAATGGATGCGTCAGCAAATGCTCATCCAACAGCAGCAGCAGCAACAAGCCCAGCAGGAGGAGTGGATGCGTCAGCAGATGATGCAGCAGCAGCAGCAGCAGCAGCTTGCTCCTCAGCCAACTGGATTCGGTTCCAACAATCCGTTCGCTTTGAGTCAGCAACCACCGATGCCATCGTTCGTTCAACAACCGCAACCACCCACTTTCAACCTTCCTGGGACATACGAAAACTCCACATCCCCACCTCCACAAATGACGTCCAGTCCCGCTCCTTCCAATCAGCAGCATTCGCCACAGCCTGGCGGCGCGGGCTTCAAGGTCAAAGTCAATGATGGTAACAACCAGCATCTTGCCAATCTGTTTGCCAATAGAGAGGACGGGCAGGATACCTTCGGGAATGTTGGTGCTTTGAGGTAAGTCGAGCTTGCTGATGGTATTTTTGTCTTCACATCGTTCTAGGTATGGCCACACCAACGCGGGTCGGGCAATGGTTGCAAACCAAGGCCCGAATCCTTTTGCCAGGCCGCAACAGCAGACACAACAAAACGAGCAACCCTTCTTCAGCGTTTGAGATATCGGATCAGGTTTTTTTGTATGCTTAGTTATTTACGATTTCAAGGATTCGTTTTTCTACTTCACAAACTCCCTAAGACGTGTCCATGGCATCTTCTGCTCCGATGGATGTGACCTCCTCACTGACCACAAGATTTCTGATGTTCTCCGTCTTCCAAGCAGTGGTTCCACGACGGAAGCCATATTTGCGTTCTTTGTTTGCTCGCTCATTTGGCATCTCCACATTGCGGAGCATTTCCGTGTGTGTCGCGGTAATAATGCACGCATCCACATTCGAACCAGACCCCAGGTCATTGAAAATACCAGCGGAAATAGCGTCTTTGACGAGTTGGAGGGCATCAGCACGCTGTTCATTTGAAAGTTGAGTGAATTTAGAACCATATGCACACACGTACATTCATGTTAGGTCTCCAGCTGCTTTCAAATACGGCCATGGCTGCGAGACTCCCAGAACCCATAGTCACATAGGGCAACTTGTCTGTCGAACCGTGCGGATGGATGGTAAACAAGTGAGGGCCCGTTGCGTCAACGCCGCCGAGGACGAGAGCAGCCCCGACATTCCCTTGATAGCTTAAAGGTAATCAGTAAAGGCCTAATCAAAGACACGAGAGAATATACCGGAAAAGCATTTGCTTGAGCATGGTCATCGCTGTCACGACGCGCGGTTTTCGGCCAGTCGATAGACCATGGAGCTCCATGTTGGACGAGATGAGGGCAGTTGTGAATTCGGTATCGGCAGCGGTTCCAGCGCCGCAGCACCTTATTGAATCGGTAATGTAGTGGATCTGTTTGTTGCTGGATGAAGCAAGGCAGTCGAGTCGGATAGAATGGAGCAACCTTTTCACAATTCTTGTCCGCAACTATATTCCCCTCTGTCGCCCGAGTATCCGCTCCAAGCACGATTCCGTCTTCGAAAAGACACCCAACGATCGTCGTTCCTGTGCTCGTGGCCTTGGGCAAAGGTAGTCCTTTCTCAGCCATGTACCCATTTCTATAGGAGCGCGTCGTAAATATGAGCGTCTTGAGATGAGTTCAATACCTGAGTTGGTTGGAGAAGTCAAAACCTGGAGCCGAGAAGATGGTGGACATTTGCAAGAAAGGCTACGCGTCGCGGCACGTGAGTCGATCCGGCTTATCTTCGATTCCGCATCATCCTTCCGAAATGGTGTTTTCGACGACGATACAAACCACAATCAGCCCCCACGACCAGAGCTCGGTGACAGAACGTATATATCCTAGCCCAGAAGCACTTAACGAATCAATCGCGCGTGCAGCCGTAGCGCAGAAAGCATGGGCCAAGGTCCCCCTAGCGGAACGTATTGCCATTGGACAGAAATTCATCGATGAGTGGCCGAATACTGGAGGTAAACAAGTTCCCGCACAACTTACGAAGGAAATGGGGAGGTTTGTGGAGACGTCTAACGCAATAATCGTTGTTGATAGGACACAGACCCATATCTCAAGGCGCTGGAGAGGCTCGTGGCTTTTTAGAACGGGCGAAATACATGCTTTCAATCGCCGAGTCATCTCTGTCGGACATCGCGCTGGCTGATACTGACAAGCCTGGATTCAAAAGATTTATTCGGCGGATTCCGCTTGGAGTTGTTCTGGTCATAGCTCCATGGAAGTGCGTTCACCGCGGCTTTGGAGCTACATGGACCTGATTTGACGAGTTTTCCTTATCTCACTTCCGTCAATTCGGTTTTCCCTGCACTCATTGCGGGCAACGCTGTTCTCCTCAAGCCATCACCGCAAACGCCCTTGAGTGCTGAAATTCTCGCAGACAGTCTGGTTCATGCGGGTTTTCCTAAGGATTTAATCATCCCGTTACATCTCACTCCCGAACTAACAACCCAAGCCGTACAACATCCTCTCGTCGATTTCGTCTCGTTTACTGGCAGCGTTGCAGGCGGCCGCGCGGTGGAAAAAGCTGCGGTGGGTGCCCCAGGTTTCAAAGGTGTTGCTTTAGAGGTTAGCGATTAGTTCACGCCATTTTCCACTTTTGTCTTACCTCCCACCGCATAGCTGGGTGGAAAAGACCCTGCCTATATTCGAGCTGATGCAGACTTGGAATATACTGTAGCTGAGATTGTGGATGGAGCTCTCTTCAATTCGGGACAAAGCTGTTGTGCTGTCGAGGTTGGACTCCATGATATACGAATACTAGTTCTCACCTATGTTCTAGCGCATTTATGTCCACGAATCGGTCTACGACGACTTCGTTGCTCGCTTTGTCGATATTGTCAAGGCATACAAACTCGGCGATCCTGCCTCAGAAACCACAAATCTTGGACCCGTCGTCAGCGTTGCGAGCGCAGATCGTATCAGAAAGCAGGTGGACGACGCGATTGCGGCAGGGGCAAAAGCTCTCGTCTCCAGCCAACTATTCCCAATTGCCCAACCGTGAGTCTGAGTCTGGAAATACTCGATCTGGTTTGACAAAACTGGTCAGGGGTACTGCATATGTTGCACCTCAAGTCTTGGTGGATGTGGATCATTGTCAGTCTGATTGTTTTTCGATTTCCCTTGCTGAATTGTGATTGAAGCCATGGACGTTATGAAGGAAGAAACTTTTGGCCCCGTCGTGGGTATTCAAAAGGTTGTTTCCAGGCGCCAAGCGTTTGTATATGATTCCTAAAAAATATCTTTTTAGGTTGCTTCTGACGAAGAGGCTGTCAAACTAATGAATGATTCCCCGTATGGGCTCACAGCGTCGATCTGGACCAACGCATCAGCGCATCCTGAATCGGAGCAAGCCTTCCTGAACATTGAGGATCAGTTGCAATGCGGCACGGTTTATCTAAATCGGTCGGTGCCTCTTATTAACTGTCGGAACCCTATTGAATGTAGTGTAGTTGCGATTATCTTGATCCAGCACTTTCATGGACCGGGGCAAAGGATAGTGGTCGAGGGATTAGTTTGAGCAAATTTGGTGAGTTATCGTCCTTATGATCCAACCAGTCTCACGTTTATGCAACCAAGGGTATGACCAGTTGACGCGGGCAAAGAGTGTTCACATGAAAGTGAAAACATCCTGAACTAGAAATGATCCGGTGTATTTGATCGGTCGTGCGATCAACCCTCCGAGTCTTATCCTGTCTTATCGACTCTTTGAAGTTGAGGCTTACTCGAATCCCGCGGAAGCATTCTGTGCTGTTCCTCAACTTGCAGTGTTTAGTGAGAGTGTTTGATAACGATTCGACCACTTGCCTCGGCAACGGCCATCGCGTGCTTTTACGCCGTTTTAGCGACATGTATGCTTGTGTCTGGACATTATAAGCAAACGAAGGTTGGAGGATGACGAAAAATCGAAATGGTTGTGCTCAAACTCGTTCTCGATGCCTTTCTCCTTGCTGTCGCGACAACAGCTCAGCAAATACCACTCAATGGCGAACAACCCAACGAGAAATGGACACAGTTTCACCATCCTATCCGTCGTGTTGCAGTAATCGGCGCGGGGCCAGCGGGTCTTCAGGCTGCTGCTAAGCTTATCGAGCATAACTTCGAGGTTAGATTGTTCGATCGATCTCCATCCCCTGGAGGAAACTGGTTCTACACGGACGAAACCCCTGTCAGAGAGCCCTACCCGTGAGCCAGTAGCAAACTTCTGGTAACATCGTCGCTGATCTGTTCCCCAGCGATAAGCCAGTCAACGAAGTCCCTGACGTTCCTCAACAACTTCCTGCGGTTCACTACTATAAGGATGGCGAAGATGGTATCAGCCTCGAAGATCGCTGGAAAGAGCATTGGCAGCCGCGTCCGCTTTGGGACTCCCTGCACACTAACTCGCCAGCTGTAGGTGGATGGTAACCAACAATCGACCTAACAAACACGTTTTGCAGGTAATCACCGAACTTCCTGGAGTCCCATATTCGGCCGCGCAGCCCTGGGTTCTGTCCAACCACGTGATACAGGCCCATGTTCGGGCCTATGCGTCGCTGCACAACCTCAACGCAAATGACGATACAAATGTTACCTCCTACGCGACGCGGGCAGAGAGTCTAGAGAAAATCAAGGAAACACAAACTTGGCGACTCACTCTCCGGAAACTTGAGCGTATACCGGAGATTAAGAGCATCAAGGCGACTTGGTGGACTGAGGAATTCGATGCTATCGTTTCAGCCACTGGTCCATATGTCGCACCGCATGTGCCGACGATCGACGGAATTGATAACTGGAGTCGCGCTATCCGTGATGATGATGGCTATAGCATCTACCATTCTCAGTCATACAGGAGACCTCAGAGGTATCAGAACAAGGTGCGTGAATGTGGAGCAATTGTTTCTAGTCTTCTCTGAGATGAAATGGGTGTTTTAGACTATTCTTATTGTTGGGGCTTCTGTGTCGGCTTCTGAGATTGCTCGAGATATTGCACCATTCACCAAGACCCTCTACACAAGCATCAGGGTTAGCAGCCACATTTTCCATGACAAATTACTCACTAATTCTCAGCCTCACGCCAAACTCTCGCCATTCCAGCTTCGAAGTCGTCTCCGATTCCCTGAAATTGCCACCGTTGTTCCCGAAATCAAGAGTTTCGAGCCACTTGTCGATCACAAGAAGGGCATAAAAGACGGCAAGATTCACCTTGTCAACGGCTCGGTGTTGACCGGAATCGATGAGGTGGGTTATCATGTTCGAGTGATCCAACAGACCAAATGCCGGAAACAGATAATTTTGGCCACTGGATACATTAGATCAAAAACCTTCGGCCCCAACTTGTAAGTTTTCAGATGGTGGATGTTACTCAAGACTTACTAGCAATGAGAACGGCGGACGGTCAACCTGAGGATTTACACTGGACGGGCCATTGGATTCCCGATCCAACGCTTGCCTTCACTAATGGTCAGTGAAGTCAATCAATAGGCATTGCACAAGACGTCACTTGATTGACTTTTTCTCTTTCTAGTCCGCTCATGGACGATTGGCAAGTACCAGTCATATGCTTTTGCCAAGGTTTGGGAAGGCACCGCTCATCTTCCTCCCCAATGGGAGATGCAGAAAGATTACGACGACAGAAAGTACCAGTTCAGAGGCCTCTTCAGTAGTCCACAGGCAGAAGGTAAGGCTCCACAATCCTGAGGGTCAAAGCACAGGCCTGACACACCAATAGCGTTGTTCCGACAATACGTTGCATGGCTAAACAACGAATCGCTCGAGAACGGCGGTCGATTCGTGGAGCCCTGGCCATTAGAGTAAGTCTGAATCAAATAGAAAATGGTATTGAGGTCAGATGCGTACAGGAATCGCGAAATTTTTGCGTATTATTCGGAGGTGGAGTGGATCAAAGGGTATACTGGACTGAGGAACTTCACGGACTTCGAGAATTTGCCCCAGAGTGAGTGGCCTAGTGGTCACGCAGCCGCATGGGAATCAATCGTGTTTGAGGAAGAGGGTTGGTAGTTTGACTGTATCCGTTGTCTCTTTGCAAGTTGTTGTTTTCCGAAACGCGAGTGGTCACAGGTCACACTTCTGCCTCTCCTCCCTCCCCATGGTGGCGCAAACTCGGCATGCGGTTGCCCCGCCGTCACCCAGGAAGCTGTCTTTCCGCGACAAGTTAGTGGAAAAGGGGCAGACAACAGACTCCCTAATCAAAAAGCTACAAACGCTTCACAAGGAGTTGGCAGAGGCAGAACAAGAACTACTCGACTCGAATTCGTTGGGAACCGTGCGGAAAGACCTCGTTAACACGACCATTCTCCTCCACAAAGATCGTGGCGTCAAAGCATACGCGGCTTGCTGCCTCGCTGATATCTTGCGCCTAACAGCTCCCGATGCACCATATACACAACCAGAGCTGCGCGACATTTTCCAATTCTTCTTTCGGCAACTCTTTACAGGGCTCAAAGGACCGGACTCACCTTACTACACCGAGTACTATCATCTCCTCGAGTGTCTATCCACCGTGAAGAGTGTTGTGCTTGTCTGTGACCTCCCAAATGCGGACGAGGTCATGAAAGAAGTGTTCGGCAATTTCTTCCAGATCGTTCAACGTGAACTGCAGAAGAAAGTAGAGATGTTTATGGCGGAGATTCTCATCGCCCTCATTGACGAGGCTCAGACGATCCCACAAGACGTGTTGGATATAATCCTCAACCAGTTTCAAGAACGACAAGGGGTGCGCGATACCTTCTCAGTAACCCAATTCATCCTGAACTCGAGTACAGTCACAGGACCCAGCGCCATATCGTTTGGCTGTTCAAGTGTGCAACGCGACTGCTGACAAACTACAACGGCATGTTTCTCAATATTTTACGGAAATCATTCTTGCGGAACGAGACGACGACTATGAAGACTTGCGCCTCGCCCACGAGCTCATCAAGCGCCTCTACCATTCATGCCCCTCCCTCCTGCCGACCGTAATACCGCAGTTAGAGCAGGAGTTGCAAACTGACAATATTCAACTCCGACTAATCGTCACGCAAGTGCTTGGGCAAATGTTTGCGGATAAAATTGGCGGATATGAACTCACGACCAAATATACCTCTACGTGGGCGGTTTGGCTGAGGAGGAAGAACGACAAAGCACCACAAGTTCGCCTCAAATTCGTTGAAGCTGCGCGCGGATTGTTGGATAGTTCCTACGAGTTGCAACGAACAGACATCGAAGCAGCACTACTCGATAAGCTTCACGACCCAGACGAAAAGGTCCGCGCCGCAGTTTGTCGGTTATATGGACAACTCGATTATGAAACAGCCTTGCACCATGTCAAGGCGTCCCTATTGCAGGAACTTGCTGAACGGGGTAGCGATAAGAAGGTCTGCCTTTTGATCCCAAAGAACCCGCTCTGTCTGAAATGTATTGTAGCCTATCGTGCGTCAAGAAGCTTTGCGGGCTCTGGGGAAACTCTACTCGTTGGCTTACCCAGAAATGTATGTGGCCATTTTCTACGTGGGTTTCGTCTGAACTAGTTGTCGAGTGAGAGCGGGGCTGAAGCTGCTATCAAGCAGTTTGGATGGATTCCACGAGCGATGGTTGAGAAACTCAAAGTTGCATCAGACATCAGGCTTGAAATTTTTTTTTGTTACTACGAACTCTTATCATCTCTGCAGATTCGTAGTCGAGGAAGTCATAAGCGAGTACATTTTGCCTTTGCCGTTGCAAGGGCCGAAGAACGCCGAGGTCGACGAGGTTGCATGGACTGATCGTTTATTAACTGTCATGGCCTACCTTGGTGATTTCAACGCGGTGTTGGCGTTCTCTGGTATATCCCGAACGTGAGCTTTCCTGTCGTTCTGTACTCACTCACGCCTTGACCCTGTGCCAGGCGACCAACGATCTTTGACCACTTCATCAATAGTTGTACCGCAAACAATGTAAGCTCACAGTTCCGTGGTGTCCGTGAAGTCAATGATTCCAGGGTGGGGTCATTGACGAGAACGAAGAAATTGTCAAGCGGAGATTGACGGAGGTCATCAAATATATCAGCAGTATGTGTTCCTCCCTCTCTCTCGATGCCGTCCAAGGTCCACCGCAGCGTTATCTTCCGACCCACACAAAACTGCGGAAGATCTGATGGCCTTTGCCAATCTCAATGAACAGCGGTTATACAAACTCTTCAGGACTTGCATGGATCCGCAAACCGATCTAAAAGGTCTGGTCAGAGCTACAGTAGGCGATTTTTACCTTGTCTTCGCCTCCAATACTAAGTTTATCAGAATGAATTCACGAGGCGAATTGAGAGCCATAGCCCGGCGATCGCCTCAACAATGAATTATGTGCTTCGACAAGCTTCGCTTCAGTTTCTCAACCAATCCTCGATTCCCACATTAATCAAGCGTTTGGAACACTCTCGAGAACTTGTCTCTGATTCCGCTTTGAAACTTCTCAGATTCGTCGCCAAACATCTTCCTGTCCTGTTCAAACCTCATCTTGGTGAGCTGATCAAAGGCATCGCAAACGATAAGTATCCCCGGTTGGTCGAAATGTCTCTTCAAGCACTAGCAACGTCCATCCAGCGGGATGACAAATCAGTTCCGGTTGACAAGTATGTTCTAGTTTTATCAGGTCGAAGCTTACCGACCATTTTACAGACGCACTGTTGAACGAATTGAACGACTGGCAACTCAAGGGACATTCCGTCAAGCCAAGTTTGCCGCCCGGTTCCTTGCATTCGCCAAACGGCCATCCGTCTGTCTGCAGGTCGTCGAGGCATGCATTATCTTATCGCTTCTGCCTGATAAGCACTGACGATTGACCCCAGACGATATCCGAATCACTTGGAAAAGCTTCGCCTCAACTTCTTGTCTCTCATGTAGCCTCACTTGCTCAGTTCGCCCGCCATGCTCCCGACGCATTTGAACACAAGAGCGATGTGCTGATGGACTTTCTCATCAAAAAGTTACTTATGGTTCCGACTCACCCTCTTGATGTATGCCACTGGTTCCTGTCGAACAACGTCTAATGCCTGTAACAGGAGGACATGGAGAGTGATGAAGAATGGGCAGAGGAAGACAAGATTTCGGATAATCTACGCGCCAAGGTCTTTGCAATCAAGGTCTGCAGGAATCGATGCCTTGCCCACGCCACCTCCGAGAATGCAAGGGAACTTTCAACACCTGTCCTCAAACTACTGGGAAGATTAGTCCAAAACTCGGGCTCGATCTTGCCAGATTCTGGTGAAGAGTAAGCCCAGTGCAACCATTTCAAAATGTACCTTCGTTGACATGTTACGCAGCAAGAAAGTGATGTCCAGAATGCGTCTACAAGCGGCCATATCCCTCCTACACCTCGCGACGGCTCAGGCATATCAAAAAGACATTGCCGGAATTTTCATTAAACTTTGTCTGATGGTGCAGGTATCTGTGTTCGTTTCGTCCCGGCAAAACCGAGTTGACGACTCTATAGGACTCGTGCTTTGACGTTCGAATAGCTTTCCTGCGGAAAATGGTCACCCTTGCATACGCACGCAAACTCCAACCCCAATACAACGTCATCCCATTCCTGACAGTCCACGACCCGGAGACGGAAGTAAGATCCATGGGTATTTCTTTCATTCGATCAACTGCGTCAAAGTTACCCGTTGGTGCGTTCTGGAAATCGTAGGATCACAAGTCAAGCCGACTTACTATAAATCAGTCAAACGGGTGGAACACCTGGACATGGTTTTCATCCGCCTCATACATCTTCTGGCTCATCACCCAGATTTTGGTACCACCGAGGAAGAGATGCTTGACATGGCCAAGTTCGTGACGGTTCCGCTCATCTCAGTCCAAGTTCTGAATAGCCCTAGATATATCGAGTTCTACCTCAGCACTGTCGCTAACGCCGAGACGATCTCCCTTCTATATCATCTGGCCATGAAGGGGAAAACTGTGCGTGATGCAGTGCCAGAGTACACTGAGGTTGGTTTTCCGATGTTGCCACGTGTGTGGCTCATGACTTCGCAGAACCTGTACATCACAAGCGAGCTGGCCCAAGAATTGATCAAAATATGGGCGCACCAACAGGGATTGAATATAGCCACATACCCCGGCAAAGTCAAACTACCCCAAGACATATTCCGTCCGCTCACCAATGCGGAAGAGTCAAAGCGGGTTCGCGCCTTTTTTGAATTAAATTGTTAAGCTGATATCAGATTGGATCATCAACCAAAATTATCTGAGCGTTGAGATGCAGACATGGGTCAAGAACCAGTATACTTCAACCAAGGAGAAGAAGGAGCGCAAACGAAAGGCCCCTCCCAAAACAACGAACGGCACAGCCCCTAAGTCAGTTCTGACCCAAATTTCCTCCCGGTTCCTTGAACTTTTTGGATTAGGAGGAGGCGAAAACGGCATTCTGGTCGATCAGACGACGAATCGGAGACCGACTCCGGTGAAGATGAAGAAAAATCATCAGAACCAGCTCCAATGATGGATGCTGATGAACAGGAGGAGAGTGAAGAGGATGACGGTGAGGTTAAGTTGGGTAGGGGCGAGAGATCCAAAGCCAAGGTACGAACTGTCAACTATTCGCGATCAAAGGACTCAATATTCGGGACAGCGAAAACGATTGCGAGCCTTGCGCAAAACCCAACAACAAGGCTCGCCAAGTTCAGAGGGATGAAGGCTGAAATGTGTGATTATGTAAGAGCTGCTCCAAGTACAGTATCTATTGCTTTGCTTTGCTGTCCATGTATACCTCAAGTTGTATTAACCAACTCCTTTATTCCTCGAAACCCCTTTGGCCACCTACTTATGTGTTGTCGTGGGTCTTGCGTTGACCATCATGAGCAGCTCATTCTGGGACGACAAGTCGGAAGAGACATTCTACTATTCGAGTTTCCCGTTCGTGACGAGTCTGCTTTGGAATCTACCTCATGGCTACCTACAGTCGGATTCAGGGCCGCATCCTGCGTGGGACGATCAAGTATCTTGAAGCTCTCGCAGACCATGACATTCTAGACGAACAAGTGTTGCGAGCTGCTGGAATACCGGCTACTGCGACAGGCCATGGGGAGAAAATTCGACCAGCAATAGATGAAGCACTCCATATTCTTCGCAGCTGGGTCCGTGAACCCTCCGAGTCGGAAGGATCGATGTTTTCGCGTATGTTTGGCGGCAAAGCCAGGCTGGGGGGCAAGTCTGTGGTAATAGACAGCGAATACCCCATCTCAGAGATGCTCAATGCCCCCTTCTATATCGAAAAAGTCGCCGAATTAGAGGGTTGTCCCGACAGTTTCGTGCAGCTGGGATTGATGGGTGTTTTCGTTGCTCTGGAAGTAAGCGAGGACAGACTGGGCGTGGACCACGAAGGGAGTAAGATTATTGTTGATATTTTGGACCGACTGGAGCCCTACACTGATTGGGAGGGTTGTGGAGGTGGCGATGTGGGCAGTGACGACTCGGATGAAGAAGAGGGGGGGAACAATCCCAATCCACCACGAACGACAGCCCAACAACTCAGGGCGGTGTTTGCGGCTTGTGCTGCCAACCCCGATAGCTCAATAGTCGCTTAATTCTGTATTTGTGAAGAGTGAAGCGTGAAGCGAGCGAAGAGCAAGCAACAAAAAAGTCACTTTCGACGACGATCACGGGTAGATTGGTATATGGCAGAGAGGAGATCCCCCCAGAGAAACGACACACTCCAACCCCGAAAACACGCCACTATGGTCTTTATGCATTATGATTATGGCCGACAACAAATCAACGACACGGCCAGCACTAGCTGGCGCACGGAACTTCCCCCGACACACATCCACATTACCCCCCAAAGCAGACCGGCTCTGCCAAATGGATAGACACTCAACGATGGCTGCTCAAACGAGCACCGCGCCTTAGTAGCTGTAGCGTACTTGCCCGCGGAATCACCTTGCTTTAAGCAAGGTCCCCACCAGGTCACAATTCGTCATCATCATGATGCGTTGATGAGGGTACAGCCAAACATATGCAAATACTACCCGAATGGACTGGGTCCCAAAGCCCCAAATTCTCGATGAAACCTCGGTGAAAATATTTGTCATTTGTATGACTCAACATCAGTCATCATCGGCATAAATAAATGTTGTGATCACAATCAAATGCGCCGTTGGTTTGTGACGGTGTGACCACTTGCGGTTGTTCTCTGCGAGCATGGCCTTGCCATTTTCCGGTGACATGCACCCGAATTCTTTGAAAACAGAGCCTGTTCAAGACACCCCGTTTTCCCAATCCCCAGAAGATTTGCCACCGGTGTCCTTCCATCAAACCAGCCGACAGCCGTTGTCCGACAGCGATAATCCTCCTGATCGTCATCAGTCTGAAATTGCCGATGCCACTGCAGTGTAAGTTCTTTTTTGTTTCACCTAGCTTTTCTGGCCACTCCTTTACTGTACTTCAGTGGAGTACTCACTAGCCCTCACCCTGATGCGTCACAGCAAGAGACGGTGCCAAAAACGTGAGCCTCAATTTCTTTTTTACCTTCGTTCATTTTTTTTTTTTTTTTTTTTTTTTCTCTTCCAGTGAGCACACCCTGTATGTAACTTCTTTGGACAGGGTAGATCGCGCTGGTACTCGCTTGATGCTCAAGGCAGGGCGCACAGCTGCTGCCCTTGCGCGCTATTATGGGGAAACTCAGTCAACAATCACACGTGTCAAACAAAACAAACGTCGTCGCCATAAGGATACTTTGTCACTTGATGAGCAGTTGGTTTCTCCCGAAGTTTTGGAAGAACTTATGCAGGAAACGCTGGCTTATGAGCTTGATCCCAAGGTAGGTTCCACCAAACAAATGCCATGAACACAGTAACCTAACTATTCTCTCAGGATGGCCGGGTCGCTAAATCAACGAAAGCGTCTCCCAAAGCTGCGACTGTCGCAGCGCAAAAGACGACATCTAAGCGTAAACCGGGCCCTGCAATTGCGTCCGCACTCAGTCGAAAACGTCCATTGGCTGCTGGCTCTTACGCAACCGCCATGGTTGATGAACTGGTCGACGACAATCTCCCATCTGTGGCCTCGGAATTACAAAATGTCGCCAAGAAACGTCGCAAAATGGATAGTCCCACATCACCTGCCGAAGTACCACGTTCGAGCGTCCAGCGCCCCGTTCGCCGTGCGCCAATTGCTACTTACGCACACCCAATACCGCCTGCCTCTCCACTCCTGGAATTCAACGCGCCCAATTTTCCAGTGGTACCATCCCAGCTATCCCACGGTTCTGCCCCACAGCTCACAAATGAAGTGCCTTCGTTGCCCCCTCGTGGAATCCATCCGCAACCCCGTCCAATCTTTCGTACCCGCGGCACAGCTAACCCCGTTACGAATCCGACTAATGCCAATGTCGGTGAGAGCTCGCGTCCCGCAACGGAAGAAAAACAGACTTTGGAGGCTTTCTTGTTCCAGGGGGATCGCACAGGAGGGTTCACCAAGTACATTCCTTTATTCGAACACAACAGCATTTGCCGGGTTTCTGATTTGTTTGAATTCGGCCAGGAGCCCAAGTTTCTCTTGACCAGCATAGAGCGTCTATTTGGCGAAGATCCAACTCGCTTTACCACCTATGGCGGAGAATACATGAAGCTCGCTAGATGCAGCCTTCTCGTCGACGTATTGCTCACACTTTTCCGACAATACAAGAGTCCGCAAGAGTGGTTGGATGCAAAATGAAAGTAAGATGGTAGCTTGCTCTGGGAGTTGTACTGCACGCACGTCGTTTGTAATTGTAACATATCCTTGAAGTCTAAATCAATGCTTGATTCACTCGACATACGCTCCGTTCTGGAAAATAGTACAAGTGTGAGATTTTGGTACCTTTTTGCTGATCTAAGTACAACGCGACATTGCCTGGCTCACATTTCATTGGCAATATCAGCCCTCGCTGACCGACACTGCCAAGATCACCACATAAATCCGGTCCAATTACGATGGCCGCCTCTTCTTGGTCCTTTGAAGGTTGGCGCTCTACTTCCCTTGAACCTGTACTTTTCAAGATTATCGCGTCTGCGCATAATACACGAACCTAGATGTGTTAAATTGAGTATCACCGAACCACAAGTCCGTACTGGTTTCTCCACCACGCCTTCTGGTGTCCGCTATCAATCCATTATTCACCCTAGGTTGCATCTGACTGTGACTTAGACTTACCAGTTGCAATTCCAAGGCGAAAGCTCTTTTTGTGTCTTCGTTCCAACAAAGTTTCCGCCTCACGATGCCTGCTCTATTGCAATATGCGCCGCCCACAACCTGCACCTCGTCCCCTTGGTAGAAGCGCCTCCGTATTGAGGACGCTCTGACCACAACCACTTTCTGGTCCGTTATTTGCCGAACGTGCACCCAGACACTTCGATCCTTACCCTCAACAACCCTCTCAACCTCTCCCAATTCACCTTCCTCCATCTCTACCAATTCACCAACATTAGGTACACCGTCGCGAGCAAAAATGTGTCTCTTGACGTGAGCCATTGGAACCTCCAGGATGTCACCACTTTCTACGGGCGTCATAAGCAGTTATGCCATGTCTTCCCCTTCTCCTGCGATACTCTCTCCTTTCACAGACACCCTTATTCGGGCATATGTTTCGTCGAAATCCATCATGTATCCGCTTCTGGAAGTCCCAGTGGTTACGACGTCACCGACAACGCGAGTGCCCGTTGAAAAGGCCATGCCGATGCAGTGTGTGAATATGTTGCCCAGCAGTCCATTGTCAAGGGCCTCCCATCGTTTCAACAAGCTTTGAGGGGGTTCTTTCCAAATGTCCGTTACACAGTCTTCAATGAGACACCATGGAGAGCATTTGAATCTTCTAAGGCACGAGCCCGAGTCTTCGGCGATGAAAAAGTTCTGGTCTTCGAACAGAATCCATTCACCAGCAAGCAGTGGCCCCAAGCGGCAGTCTAGTTGGAACCATCGACATCGCCAAGGGTGCGCTTCAGTGCCTATCGCTGGCCTCTCTCCGTAGAGCACTCGTCGAATAGGAGTGGCGTAAAGCCCTGGCATCGTTCTCTTGCTGGTCAACGTTGCTTTCTGCTTTTTCAAGTTAAATGGCTCACGCACATTGTTGCTGAGACAATTGTTAGTGGACTGGGGAAGAAGCGCATGATTCTTCCATCACTGACGGTCTCCTTGGAATTCTACCGTAGGTGTCTCGAGTCGTAAGGAAGACGTTGGGAAAGCCGTTGGCATTGGCTAACAACGATGAAGTCACCGTGTTGTATTGAGGATTGTCTGTGACGGGTCACAATTCATTTGCTCACCTTCACCTCCAGCACTCTTACTTACTCCAGCACTCCGATATCTCGGTAGCCGCTAATATGGAACACGCAATGGGTCATCCAGCGCGTGATCGTGCGACTGACCTTCAAGTTTCCAGTCACGCGTACATGACCTGATTATGAAACCGCTTCCACTCCGACGACTACATAAAGCGCAGAAAGGCTGTTGGGAAAGGTTTGACACACATGGCCGCTCCCTTGCTCCTAAGTGATTTCTTGATCTCTCTACCCAATAACTTGGCCTTGCACAACAAAGCATCACGACAGCAAGTCGAGGGTTATGATGTTGAACAAAGAGTTTTTTTGGACGTTGACGGAGCCCAAGTTGCGACCGTGTATCTGTCTGGTCGCTATGTCGGTAAAGAGACAAGTAGATGGGGTGTAAGTGCTTCTTTTCTCTTGCAAAATCATCCTTGACAATTCTTAGGATTTCGTTCACTTGCGATGCCCCACAGGTCCAATTCTCAAGCCTCGGTTCCAAAACGCAGTTAAACAACTACAAGACCTTGTTCCCAAATCAATGCCGGACGACAAGAAGGCAAGTTATTACCGTTCATTTGTTCCCCGCGCCTTAAACCTCTCGTTGACAGAATATTATCGAATATTCCTACTGTAATACGCAACGAGGACACAGCGACGAGCCCGTCATCCGCGTCCGCATCACAGATGACACCCAACGTGTAAGTGTGCAACTTGTCAGCGCATCGTCACTAACATCATCCTAGTCGCTTTTGCAGTATCAATTTGTCGAAGGGTTTGGTCCAGGCAATAATGAAGCTGTGTCTTTGGTTCCCGGCGCTGATGTGCGCTGTGTTGTTCGTATTCTTCGTGAAGATCGCGCCGTTATGGAGTATGAAGATGGCAGTTTGGCCTGGTCAGTGGTAAGCTGCCTATACGCCCTACGACCATCGCGTTAACAAGGAACAGGCCTGGGTTCTGAATGCTGAACAAGTCACACGTTGCTATTCAATACCGAACAAGGGCGTCATCTTATCAAGTCCCTCCTCTCAAAGTCGAGTGCAAAAGAATAACTCCGATATGGACGTCGTCGACGAAGCTACTGATTCCGAGGTCAACGACGATGGCTCTTATCATGGGTCTGACGAAGACGACGATGTAACCGAAGACGAAGAGGATGATAGTGCTAGCGATTGGGATTCTACTTACACTTTCCGCAACAACCGAGCTCGTTCTCTCTCTGCTTAGTTACTTGGCCATGTAAAGCACCTACCTCCCCCGTCTCCAAATAACTCCTTGTGCTAAAGTTT